TCAAGGGAGATTTCTGGTTTACATTAAAATCTGTTTTATGACTTAAAATCTTGGTAATAGATTTCAAAACACTTATCCTGTGTAAAACTCGAACTGGTTGCTGTAGCTTTCATCAAAGTTTCTTCTGAGACTTATGAAAGTGATCTTGAAATACCTCTGCTGTACAAATATCTGATCATCTACTACTAAGACAGAATTGCTACCACTGCAAAACTGTATTATATATTGAATAATCAACAGCATCAAGGGAATATATCAATCTTTATGGACAGCAAGACAGAGATGAGTTAGAAGCTTTCTTTGTGCATGAAGTCTGTCTTGTCAGATCTTAATCCCGTACAGACAGAATTCCAGTATGTTCTTCAGCTCTTACTCATTCAGATTGAAGTCACAGAAATCTCTGACATGAAGATGTTCCTGTTCAAGGAGTCAATTTCAATTCTAAAACAGCCATAATAAGTATTATTTTTATCATGCAGTTTCAGCCACTCGGATAACACAATGATAAATTTAGAGGTGCTGTATTTTTCAGTCTGGCCACAGAATTATGGAGCTCCGTGTTTGTGACTTGGGAAACAGTTGTGTGAAAGCATAAAATACAATTGGTTCTATAGGTCTTCACAACTATATTGATTGGTTTTGCAGGAACAATAGAAAACAGTCAAAGCTGCTGAAAATGTGAGTAGGACAAGTAAAAAGTTGCACTAGGTGCTACAGCTCTTACATAATTGTACCTATATGTACTTGACTGATAGTGTTCTGCTTTGAGCAATGAAGGGGAAAGTCTAAAAATGTTAACCTATGTCTTAGACACTTTATGATTTTGCTAAAGTGCAACTGAAGTTTCTAAGATACAAAAAGTGAGTGAAAACCGTGATTGATTTGGACTGTCTGGTTTAGCTTGAAATTCAAGTTCAGTGTTTTGGTATTTTTTTATGCTGTTATCAGTTAAAAATAGCTTTAAACCTAATAATTTTGCTGTCATTCTTACTTTTAGATTTCATTTTAAGCTATTGTTTTTGAACAGTGGTTGCTCACAGATTCTCAGGAGCATGTATGAGAATGTTGACCTTTAAAATTCTAGAAAAAAAAAATTATTGAACTGAAAAACTGATAGTGCACTTTTGTATTTCCTGGTCAGATATCTGAATTTACTGGCATTTAGGGCTGATCCTTCTGAAAATGAAAAGGCTCTGCTGAGATAATATGATGGGAAATGGATGTGCAGTACAACTTCTGTTAAATTTTGTGATTTACTGAAATGAAAGTGTACCTTTTGGAGGTTTATTATGATCTCAAAATGTGTTTTTTCCAATTATTAGTAATCTGTTAAAAATATACACTGTATTTCAGTTCACATTTATTTTCAACTTCTAGCCTTTCTTGGGCATGAAGTTTTTGTACCACTAAATATTTTTTTTTTTACAGTAGTTGCTTGTTGAACACATCACTTTTAGTCTCTGATTTGGTGTGTTTTGGTTATGTTTCTACCCCATCTATTTCTTGAGGTTTTCAGCACTTCTGACTCTGAAATTACTATTTAAATATGTGCATTGAAATAACAGTAGTCTTAAATCAGTCTTCTCTTACTGCATGTACAATATTGTATACTTGCATGTGTAAGGTCAAAGTAGCTCTTGAATTCCTTTATGTGTACACTTGGAAGAAGGAAAAAAATCATGCGTGTGTTAAACCAGTCATGCTGGAACTTGATGCTAAGCTGACTTTCCAATGGAAGTGAATTCTTAGTTGTGAGAGTCTTAACTAGGCAACAATGTGTCTTGATAGTAATTTGATACACTCCTGGCTTGATCTGAGAACATCACACAGGTTGAGATGGGATGGCTGTGCCTCTCACTGTGATGCCTGGTAAGTGGTGTGAAGCTCAGTGGTGATCACAGCTCTTTGTTTTGTATTATCTGAGCTACTTCAGCTGGAGACCAAAGAAATGGCAACCAATGCAACTGAGTTGCTTTGTGATTTGGAACGAGTAGTTGTGAAGCTGTCTTAATTGTTCAAACGAAAGTGTTGTGTAACAGATAAGTTAGTTTTAAGGCTTTGAATATCTTGCTTGTTCTTTTCTTAGCCAAGCAAGCTTGCCCTGATATTGATGCTGAGTTTTAAATAACTTTGTTCCAAAAAGAGGGGTGTGGGGTTTTTTTGTTATCTTGGTGCCTATCTGTCTTTGAAAATGTGGATTGTAAGTGAAAGAAAAAGTCCTCCTTGTACCATGTTACAGTACTTGGTGGTTGAACAGGATCATCAGCTGGGAGCTTCCTAGTACGTACTTTCACCGCTGCTACAAACCTTCAGAAGGAAAAGCAATTTACTGAAAAGAATTTGCTTTTGAAATAAAACCTCATGGTGATTAGTTAGTTGTCCGAATAAGTTGTGAGCAGGCTTATTATTTACACCTTGTTATCCTGAGCTGCTTTTCAGTGCATTGCAGCATACCTGTGAGTTGCCAAAGAGCTGGTAGTGTACACTGTCACCCAATGTCACTGCATGTCCAAAATAATTGGAGTGGACTGAATTGGTTACCTATGTGTTTACAGTCAGTAGTGCTACTATGTATTTTGAAGAATATGATATTTCTAAGATGTGTAAATTCCAAGTGTTATATTTCTAGAGGAAGAGAAATGGAAAGCGATTTGATTACTGTAGAATTAGATTAATTAGATTGATGTAAAGTTCTCAACCAATCATTGACGAAAGAGCTGCAGTTTAGTTAAAAACATTGGTAAGTGTCTGGAATTTAGTTTTGTGACATTTACAAAATGTCTCTGAGTTTTGAGAGCTTATATAAATAAGGGGATTTTTTTTTTTATAAATACTTGACTTACTCCTGGTTTTGTGTGCCTTCATAAAGCAAAGGTGCGGAGCATGGTCAGAAGAGTCCGTGGTGTTCTTTAAAAATTAATGACATGGAAATTTTTAGTCAAAAATAGTAGATCCCAGTAATGGGCATTTTAACTGAAAAATCTTCCTGATACATTCTGTTTCTGAATCAACTCTGAATATGAGTTGATTCTTAATATGCTGGTGATCATCCTTTTTACAGGTAGAATGCTTGTGAAATTATAAAAATCAGACTGAAGATGAAGACATTTCTCCCTCAGATGAGTTTCTTGGGGGAGCTGAAGTTTAGAAACTCTTGTTTCTTCCCTTATGATTTTATAATCATTCTAAGAGCAAACTGGTTAAATTTAAGGCTAAAATTTTAGATGGGTAAAATTGAGAAAAAGTATAGTTGAGAAATTAAAAAGTTCTTAAAGATAATGAGGAATATCCAAGTAATAGGGGTTGTCAGAGACTAAATTTTTAATACTTAATTTCAAATAACACCACAATATTGACACAGAGCATTGCTTATGACACCTTAATATAAAAATCTTACAATCTTTATTAAATGTAATTTAATTTTTACACATTTATTAGCAATAGGTTTAAAGTATTTTTATGTTCTGTACTTGTGAGAACAATGTTCTTTTCCTCTAGTTAGAAACCCTTTCAGTAGTATTTCAGTGCAATGTAATTAGCTTCCAGCTGATGTTTTGCAGTTGTGGTAAACTATTAGTTGGCAAAATAACGTACCATAACTGTTTTTAAGAATTAAATAAGGCTAAAAATTCTTATGAAGTTATTTTAATTAAATTGAGTTGGTTTTGAGAGTCCTTAAATTCTTTTAAGTAGTTGTTTAAATTGGCTTATGAACTAGCTTAGCTTTCATAGGAGAGGTTGATTGTCTTGTTTTGATTTTATTCTTTATAATTTTTGTAGTAATGGCATGCTATTTTAAAAGAAATTAAGATTTTTCACTAAGGTTTGAAAAAATATTGAGCAAATAACTTAATTTTTTGTTGGCATACAATAAACTGATCACTGTAAATGTGGTCTTGCCACAGTAGTCAAACTGCATACCCCTCACCGAATATATTTCAAATTGTTTGGTAATATTTCTATTCTAAGCACACAATCAGTAGGTGATCCTTTATATTTAATGGGTTCTAAAAAAATGGATTTTTCAAGGCCTTTTTCTTAAAACCTGTTAGCTCTCTACTAATATTTTTACAGTCAGTTGTAAGCATTCATGAGCTAGTTTGTCTTTATAAGCAGAACAAGGCTGTGGGTGTAGTTATATTTTTCTTTGTTTTCTGAAGAGTGAAAACAAGGCTTTGATCTTGGCAAGAGAAGAAGGGTAGGACTAACTAGACAAAATATTATGGTGACTTTTATTCAGTCCATTTTTAACCCTAGGTAGAGTGGAATGTGCTACCTGGTCTTGGAGTTGATATGTGCATGGATTACTTTGGAATTCTCTTTTTCAGGAGGGACAGAAAGCTCCTAGAATACTGGCAGTAGGAAAAGGAAGTGCCAGTAACTGACCAAGTCTTTTTGTTACAGCTGGGCTAGTGGAATGTCATGGGATCATAAAATGTCTTGTCCTGTATGTGTTTGTCTTAAATGATTCGTATGGAAAGTTTATCTGTTTTTTTAAGTATTTGTTTCTGAAGTGAATTTTGCATGTTTGATTGAACCACTGTAATCAAAATGTAACTGATGCTATTTATGTCAGTGTTAATACGTAGAGTATTAGTTCTTAACCCGGGGTCATGATCCCAGGATACTGTGCTAATGCTTTACTTGGACGCACAATAATTAAATCAAACAAAATCAACCCTGCAATAGGGGGAATCAAAAGTATATGTTTTGAGGGGATGGTTGCTTCTCCTAACAGCTGCTAGTTTGTCAGAAAGCTACAGTGCACATCATTTGTGAAGTGCTGTGTTACCCACTTTTGCTGTTAAGTAGCTAACTTTTCATGACCTAACTGTAAAAAGACTCAGAAGTCCATTGCACTGTACTATATGTAGTATGTGAGAATAAATACCTCGGGCTTCATTGTTTTGTTACTGGGTATCAGTGGCATTTAATGACTGAACAAAACTTTATGAATTTTTTACACCATTTTAAGTGAAACTGCTTTTTTTTTCCCTTAGGGTCGAAACCCTTTTTTTCTGGAGCCAGCAATAATTATTACAGTTACTGATGGAAGTAAATTAACCACTACCAGTGGGATACAGGAAGAGGTAAGGTCTGACCTCTGTTTACAGCAATGTGTACTAAACATGGTGTTACACTACTGTTTACAGTAGGAGCATAAATGCTCATTAATAGCTTAAACTTGCATGTGTTCTGCTTTTAATTTAAAGTATTTTTGTGCAACAGTACTCCAAAAAACTGTGTAATTTCTTACTTACATCATGTGACAGAAGTCTGTGATACAACTGTTTAGTTGTATCTGTTTAGTAACCTAGGTTTGCTATTTCTGTCCAGGGAGTTCATGGCTATTCAGATGTTGTTAGCAGAAGAAATTGATTTCTATAAAGTGTGTGTGTCTTTGACTGGTCTAGATATTAGTTCTTTGTGTATAGATCCAAGTTAACAAACTGATTTTCCAAAGGATGAGGTCACTAGAGAGTGTGTGAAATGTACCAGTTTCACACTGGATTCTTAAAAATATCAAATCAGTAGTCCTTATAGTCCAAGATAAGAGCTGAAGAAATGTATTTCAAATTAAATCTGTAGAGCAGTTTAAAATCAAGATCTTAATGTACTGGAGTACCCGCTCAGACATCTGGCAAACTCAGAGCTATACTGATGCACTGAACTATTTTTAAATTACTGACTGTTCTGAATTCTTTCCTTAAAAAGATGGAAGTCACTAGGGATAGGGTTGGTCTGGCCAGCTCAATGCCCATTCCATGCAGTAGTAAAAAACCCCAACCAAATCAAAAAACAACAAATCCCTAAGATCGTTCCCTTTTCAGGGAAAGATTAATATCGAAAGGTCTGTTTTAAAACTTAAGAGGAGGATTCAGTCTTTTGCTTGTGCTACACCACATTTGACTATACAGATTAGCTTGTCATACATAGCTGTTCATTACTTACTCAGATTTCTCCTAATAATCTATTATATTGCATTCTTACAGCACTTACAGAAGTTGTCTGTATGAAAAGTGGTATTTGAGTGTTTTTGTAATGTATCTGACTTAGAGGAAGAAAGTTGAATGACCTCATAATTCTATGTGGACTACTAACAAATGAGCATAGCCAGTAACTGAAAGGGAATTCCTGGATCCATGATAACAAGTAGGTTATATGTATAAAAACTTCGCTTCCATCATATTTTTTTACCCAATAAGCTATTTTCAGCTTAATCTGGTGATTGAATGGGTGCGGTCCAAAATACCAATAGAAGACACTGAAGTGTCACGCTATTCTACAACATACAGTGGTGTTAGCAGCAGAGAACTGTTCTGAGTAGTCTCTTAGCTATGTTTCTTGAGGAGAAGCATCTTCTTTGCTGCCGGATGACTAACTTGTGGACAGTCTGACATGGACAGTCTGGGATTACAGACACCGAGGTGCACAGAGGTTAAGCAAATGACATCTTGGTGGAGGCTGAGAAGTTTGTTCAGCCTTTGGTGGAGAAGGCTGTAGTGTTTCATCACCATTTGCAACAACTTAAAGGGGCGGGGAGCCTGGCTTTTCTTGGAGGTACACAGGGCTGAAATGAGAGGCAGCAGCTGCAAATTGTACAAGAGGAAATTATGATTGGATATCAAGAAACTTTAACTATGTGGGTGATTGAACACTGGCATAGGTTGTCCAGTGGTTGTGGAGATAGTAAAAGCTGAACTGGACAACGCCCTGAGCAGTCAAAAGGCTCTGGACTGTACAGCCTTCATGTGTCCATTCAAATGCACACAGTGCTATGATTCTGTTACATTTCCTTTCATCTTGTTCGTTATCCAAAATGATTTAGATAAGAAAGCTGTATTGTTTGTCATAAGCTCTTTTACAGCAAGAGTCAGGATTTCTTTTTTGTAGCCAGCAAGGTTTTTTTTTCCTACCTTTTCCTTTAAATGTGGGTGCAACTTTCTTACCTTAGTCTTCACAGGAAGATATTTTCTTAGGCAACCATTTGGTCATACAGTCACATCTTTAAACTGTTTTAACTTATGTTGAGAAAAAGGGTTTTCTGGTGACTGCTCTAATCTGGTAAATTTAGGCTTGGCTCATGAGCAGTGCTGACTGGTAAGTGCAGGCTACACCTAGAGTTTTAGTATGATTGTGACATTGGGCCAAATTTGACGCATAATTTGCCAGTTGTTCAGTTATGTTCTGGAAATGCAGAATCTGCTTTAATGATAGTGAACTACAAATTTTTTTTTTTTTTTTGGTAAATAAGCTGATTATAAGACATTGTCTTCGGGAGGAATGGGAAGTGACCATGGCTCTTACTTCCTGCAAGACAAAATACAAGTTTCTTTGAGTGCTTTTCCATATGTATGTACTGGGTATGTGTTTCATACCAAGCAATGGAAGTGATTTTATTTTTTTTTCTCTTTTGCTATAGGTGTACTGGTAGGAACATTTTTAACAGTATCAGAGAGCAGAGGAACAAAGCATCAAAGGGTGCTTCTGTTCTTCAGGGCTCATTTTTGGCTTTTGTCAGTGTGTATCCTACTGGTCAGAATTTTTCTTAGTGTAGCTTGTGTCCTTTACAGTTACCTCTCAAGTGGGGCTTGCAGAAATGAGCAAGAATTAGTATGGTAATGCCACCCTGGAGATAGAGAAGTTTGTCGTTGCTCTTTGGTTCAATAACAAAGCTTTTCAGTCACTTTCAAATGTCTGTTTTGTTCTTCGGGTTTGACTTTGGGAAGGTTTTTCAGAGTTGGAAGTGATTGTATCCCACTGGCTATGACAGGTCTTTTTACTACTTAACATCGACTAAGGCAGTATATTTTTAATTCTTTTAAGTCGTGTACAAGAGAACCAACAGAATGTTGGGTTTGGGGTTTTTTTTCTGAAAGCCTGTGAAGCCAGTATGGAACCTGGAGGCAGGTTTTCTCAAACCTTTGTCATTCAGTTGAACATTTGCGTTCTTACCGGTAAAATCAGTTTATCACTATGGGAACACTGTCATTTGCCCTAGTGTGAAGCAGTTAAGCTTAAACCCTGTTTCAGAGCTCTTGCTGAATTTTTCAGATGTCCTGTTCCTTTGTAGATTTTAATATGGATTTTGCAGATAAAGAGGCTTTCCTGTTCAGTGCTTTGTCTCTTCTGTGCAGTTCCTCAGGTTGAAGGCTGAAATGATAGTCTGTGCAATTATGTCCACTTGCACAAGTTAGTAGCACTTCCAGTTCTGTGCCTTCTGCCAGTGCTTTCTAATACGCTAGTGCTGAGGTACTAAAGAATGCCAGCATCAGGTCTACATTCAGCAAGAGTTGTTGACCAGACTCACTTGTCCCAGTCATAACTTGAGGAGGGGACAGGCTCATACTGTTGGCAAACCATCATTAATTAGTTGGTCTCATGCTATGGATTCCTCATGGAGTGGCTTTTGCTTCTCCTGATCCCTCAAATCTGGTCTTAGCCCTTTCTTCATCTTTCCTTTAACAGATGTTTAATTTCTTGAAGGGATTTCTCTTATTCCTCTTGATATTATGAAAAAAATCATACTTTTTTAGTTTTACAACTGCTATGTTCCCTTGTCCTCCTTCTACATACCCTCTGTTTTAAGAGGAAGCATTAAACTCCTGTTTGCAAGACTGAAGCTGGGTTATTGGCCTATTGATACATTCTGATGAATGATTATGCCAGCAAAAAGCATGAGCAGTGCTGCTTGGTTTCTGTATGTTGCCATTCCTCTGATCATTCAGTTACAAGAGACTCTTACAGGAGGAATCAGTGATTTTCTTATATCTTCATCCCTGAACTGTTTTTGGCATTGTCACATTGATCCTTCCCAGGGTCAATCATCTTGCATCCCTGTTGTAACAACTGCAACAAGTGGCAAGGTCCTGCTTACTTTCAGGAATAATCAGGAGCTGTAAATGATCCATTATATTTTTAATCATTAGTTCCTCCAGTTAGAAATCTAGACTTGAAAACAAAATTCTGCAAGAAGTGTGGCAAACACCATTAAATGTACATTCCCATTCTTTCTCATCTTATTATTCCTGTTAGTAGCAGTTTTGGTGTCTGCAGCATTTGACCCAGCTCTAAAGCTCTTGATATGTGCATTTTTGATGTGTAACCATGAGCTCAGTGAGCACTCGCTCATGGTTAATGCTGGCATTGGAACCCTGGAGTATATCCATGACATTGACATGGTATGTCAGTTGACCTCGGTGTCTCTTTGTGGTCTTAAGTTATCTCCTATGGAAGAACAATTTGTGGCTTTCTATCTGTGTGTTACAACTGCATGGAAAAAGATGGGAAAACTTAATGTTGTTGATAACTAAGTAGAGTTTCTCAGTCTATCAAGAGCTGGTTTTCTTAGTTGGACTTGAATAGAGTTACCCATCCTTAAGTCCTCTAATGATGAAATGCTGCATTTGCTTGGAATATTAGATGTGTCTTATCTTTCTGTGGGTAGCAGAAAAGCATGCAAGGAAGGTTACTTGAAGGTAGATTATTTTTTAAATAATTTTTTTTTTTAGATGCCAAAAGAAAAGGTGACTGTCTCTGTATGGATATTTTCATTCAGTGCCTGATGTGTGACAGTCTTTTATGAGATTTCCCAAGATGGAGCTGCCTGTAATTATCTGGGTACTAAAGCTTAAGTAGTGCTGGTGCTGCCCTATTCTAACGTATGAGCTGGTATGTGCAGCCTCTGCCAGAAGATCATTACTGTCTTCAGTTCAACAACTGCCATGCCAGCGTGGAATGCTCTAATGCTAATTGTGGGGGGTTTTTTTTCAACCTAGGGTCTCTAGGATCCTTTTAAAATTTTTTTTAGGTTTTTAGACTGTGCTGCTGGTTATGGTTGCATGAATGTAGGTAGAAACAATGTCTGAGAATAAAAAAAAGACCTGCTCACCAGTAATAGCATTCTATAAGATCTCTTTGGTACAATGCTGTCCTCCACCCCCTCTTGGTTCTTGAATATTTTACTGGTTTTAAAAGCAAGGAAGAGGGGAATAAAGCATACACTGCTATCTGATTGTATCATTGTGGCATTTGGGCATGGTGGTAGGGTTTGTGTGTGCTCCTACAAACTAGTATTGAGAAAAAACAGCTGGTTTCTAGTACTAAGCTGGGAGGACACTTGTGTGTGATTTACATAGACAAAATGTTGAAGACCATTGCTGGTAAATAACCTCCCTTTTAATACTTCAGTCTACCTTTTTCTCAACAGCCAGTATGAAAGACAAAGAGGAAAATATGTGCATGCCTTCGTATTGAAATATGCATGGGGAAAGAAAGGAAATGCAAGATATAGAATTCTAGGCTCATCTTCTGCTAGGTATGCAGTTGCTATGGTAATACAATACCAGTTTAAAAGAAAAGCTAACTGGAGGTGAAAAGACAGTTACTGACGTCTATGGAGAATGAGTTGGTTTGAATCTGTAACTTTGCTAGTATAAAAGTTAAATAAAGGATGCTAAACTAAACTAGAATTAAATCGTGGGAAAGTGAGGGCATTCGACTTGATGATGATTGCTTTGCATGGTGTCTTTGAGTTTCAAAATATTTCTGATAGTAATATGTACGTAATGCAATGGCCTGCTCCTGAGTACTGTTTGGTTTTGGGATTGGCTCAGCTGGTTATAGGGAGATAAAGAAAGCTTATGTAGCTTGAGAGAAACTGAGCTCCAGGATAGTGTTGGTGCAGGGTCCAATGGGATACTTCACATATATATAGTAAAAAATGTGTATATACTGCCTGAAGAAAAACAATGATGTTACATAGGTATGTTTTGCAGATCGAGTATACTCTTAGGAGCTAGTAAATCTTCTGTTTAGTCAGATCTAAGTAGGAGAGTTTGAATGGCATTCCTTAATAGCCACAGGGGAGGACGGTGGGAGTGCTTGCAATTGAGTCTTCTTACAGTCAGGATTCCAGGCTGTTTGCTAAGAATGCAGCAATTCTTGTAACTGAATTTCCTTTTCTCAGGCAGTCTTTACTGGCCCTTTGTGTGAAAAGGGGAAAGACATGCATGTCAATCAGTAATAAATTAGGTACATAGCTGAGTTCCCTTTGACCAGTTTCAGTGAAACATTTGGGGAAAATAGTTCTGTTCTCACATGTACTCTGTGCTTGTATAAGCAAAAACAAATTCAGGAGGGATCATCAAGTGTGCTTAAAAGTCCAAAATACTGTGATTCTTGGCCACATGTTATGAGAATGGATTTGTCATGTTTGTTCTAGCTTTGAGATTGTATTAATAAGTTGATTGTTTTTCGAACATGAAGACCTGTATTTTTCCCAATAAAAGATGCTTGCAATTATGTAAATAGAAATAGATGAGGTGGCTGGTGTGGAAATCAGGTTTAATGCTTTTAAGCTATCTCTTAAAAATAAGCAAACAAGAAGAACTGCTTTAACAGTGTTCTGCAAATTCCCCAACTAACAACTATGAACTAAAGATGAAGGTAATATATAATGGGTGCTTATGTGGACTTGCATCGAGTTCTGGAAAAGATTAGTACTTTCTTGCTAACATTGAGCTGAGATTGAGAATTGGGATTTTTTGAGTGCTGCATGAGAAGTGTTTGAGGAGACATGAGTTTGCTTTAGCATTTGGGCTTAACTCTTGTATTTGGTGCAGTAATGGAACTATTTGCACCACTTGAGTCATTGCTTTGGGGATTTTTTTTTTTTCTCCTTAATGGCTGCAGTGCTCCAAGTGAAATGAGAATTTTGCTTGTGCTAACAGTGTTATCATCAGCCAGGGATCTATTGAATTTTCTGAATCTTGTAACCGTTACAAATTTAGATTATCTGGTCAGGGCTTCTGTAGCTGAATGTGTGAGTAAGCTGTTTTTTCCCCACTAATCTGTGTGAGGTATCCGGATTGAGGAAGAGAGGATAGGATCTTCTGAATGCCTTCTGCTGTCCTTTACAAGCTGACACACCTTGTTTCAGTTCACTAGATATAAAACTGCTGCTATCCTTGAAATTTTAGATGTTCTGTTACTCTCTGGCTGTTGCTGTTAGTGGTTAATAAATAATGTCCTGACCATTGCTGTATTTTTACTGCATCATGTTTGAAGTCTGACACTTGAATCTCTTTGCTTTAATTCACAGAAAATGTATATAGTATCTTCAGTATTTTGAACTAAAACTTTTGTGTAGTTTTTCCCAGACAGAGGCAACACAACAGCACATGGCAAGCAATTCTTCTTTGTATGGGTAGCTGTGGCTGCTGTTATCTATTACCTAAAAGTGAGAACTAATTTTGCGTTCCAGTGTTGATTTTAATTTTAACACCCACTTTTCCCTTAAAGCACAGACATGAGTTTAGTTGTGGGATGTACCTGAATTGTGTAGAATCTGCTTTCTGGTTCTGTAACATAGCTATGACAATAGTTCACTTGAAGCTAAGTTATTTGGAGTAGGTAATCGTGACATCTACACTCGAGCTATATTTCTTCTGGGGTAGTCTTAGATTACATTACCTTTTCATTCAGTTGTGCTTATCTTGAAGAACTGAGGAAAATACTGAGCTGAGAATGGGCCTGTTCCATAAAAAACTGAACAAAAGAACACTATAGTGAAGCAGCTTTTACTGCTGAAATTCTAAAGAAAATATTCTAGTACTTCTGAAGTTTGGATCAGTTTCTAACAGTGGTTGTTACTACTTGATTTGTAGCTCTCAACATTATCTATCATGTTGCTTTGAAATGTTTGAAATCTTCATTAAATAATGGGCGTCTTGCTTGTCATGTACAGTACTTGAATAAAGTTATAAATGTGTGTTATATACACACATATATAAGAGATGTGTGCTTATATAGAGTGATTGCCATTGCTGTGTGACGTGAATTTTTGTTTCGTTCTAAAGCTGTGCATTCACAGATTTAAATGCCTTTGCAGCTCCATTTACCTCTCAATTCCCCTTTACCTGGAAGTGAGTTGACTAAGGAACCCTTTCGATGGGATCAGAGGTTGTTTGCTTTGGTTCTTCGTTTGCCTGGTATTACAGCACCAGAATCGGAGCAAATGACAGGAGTACCAGTGGATGACTCTGCAATCACACCTATGTGTGAAGTCACAGGAGGTGAGTGCCCTCCATTCGATTGACAAGTCATTACTTAAAAAATGTAAATCAATTCAGTTTAGTTCAATTAATCTTGTTCAATTAATCTTGCGATTCCATGTCATGGAATAACACTTTCCACGGTCTTACAGCACTTCTAAAAACTCTCAAGACTCACAATATGAAGCTAAAAACACTGCATTAAAGCTACAGACAGTGTAACCTGTCTAGGAAGTATGAATCTACTCTCTTTAGGAATTTTTTAGAAGAGTACTCGCTTGCTTTCTGCTGCACCTTGGTATTGCAATTAGAAATCGTAATAATTGAGTCTGTTCTGCAGTACAGTTTAGCTAAATTTTTGTCGTACTCTAACCTAAAGAAGCCAAAAGTGAAGGAAATGTGTTGGTTGTTTGGGGTTTTTCCCTCCAGAGCATGCAGAACATATAATAGTTCTGCAGAGTTGATACTTTTCTCTCAGTCAGAAATCATATTCTTAGTCTCTTAGAAATTATATTCCAGGTCAGACTCATGCATTGATTTTATCACATTTTAAGGACATAATGATTTTTCTGATGCATCAGAGGGGTTGTGATAGAGAGTAAAGGGATTTAAGAAGTATTCCAAAAGGATTTGATTCCACTGGTTTCTGACTGTCTGTAGGCTGTACTAACAGCACTTTGACTGAAATTCGAGGACAGTTAAGTGTTAATGTCACAAGGGGGAGCCCATTTTCCGTGAATGCAACCAGGAATTTGAATTAGTCATTAAGGGTCTAAGATCCAAGCCTTTCTGATGAGGTACCTGTCCCTGCTTCACTAGGCTGCCTTGGTGCTTAAACAAGGAGGGACTGTTCAGGAGAAGCTTTAAATCAGTGATCTTACATAATTCAACATGTGTGATGGTTGAACAGTTTTAAATGATCCAAATTAAAATAAGGGCAGAAACACTGAACAGCCTTAACCTTAACTGTTTTGTTGTAGGTCGATCATATTGTGTGTGCTCTCCAAGAATGCTGAATCAGTGTCTTGAGTCGTTGGTGCAAAAAGTGCAAAGTGGAGTGGTAATCAACTTTGAAAAAGCTGGACCGGATCCCTCACCAATTGATGGTACTTGACATTTTTTACACTGGCATCAAATAACAGGGATGACTGAATATAATTTAGTGAAGTTAATGTAGGAATTGCCAAGAAAAAGGGCAAGTGTTGCAGTTTCAAAGACATCACTATGAAAAGGACCTGCTAATTCTGAAATTCTGTTGTGTTTCAAAATACTGGCTGCAGTTGCTAGACATATCTACAGTTGTTCATGTTACTCAGGTAGTATTAAGTGCAGTTATTCATGTCAATCATAGTTGAATGGGTTCATGAGTTTTAAGCAGTGGTTTTCAGCCAGCTAGAAATGTGAATAACTTATGGAAAGACTGGGGGTTTATACACTTTATCCATTTTTGTTCAGTGTAATAAAGTGGCGGCACTAAGAGTTAAAATAGCAAATACAACTGTGCAATGTTAACTTCTCATTCTAAATGGCTTAACCGGGTTCCTCTTTGGATGTTCCTGGGAAGTGTTTGTGGGATTTTTTTAATCTTATTTTGCTACAATAAAAAGTTAGTCCAGCAGTATTAGTCACGTATATCACTTTTTTAATGCAGGAATTTGAAGGTTATCTGTTAGTAAAAATGGAGGAGAAAGGAACTGATGACTTTGAGGGGCTCGAGATAATTGGCTTTCTCAGCTATGATCCTGTAAACATTCAGTGGTTATTAGGTTTCTCATAGTCTGTGCTTTTGCGGGAATGCTTACTGACAACTATCTACTATTCTTAGAAATAATATTAACTGCAGGAAGAGCTTCCCTGAGGTTATAGTTCTTGAACTCCTCACAGAAGTTTTTTAATACTCTTCTTGAGTTTTAACACTGTTTTGGCTCATAAAGCCTTTTTCTTCTGTAGATGGGCAGGTGGAGATATCTAGACCCTTTGGACCCCAACCTTGGCACAGCTGTCACAAACTTATTTATGTCAGACCAAACCCTAAAACTGGGGTTCCTATAGGTCACTGGCCTGTTCCTGAATCCTTTTGGCCGGATCAAAATTCTCCAACGCTGGTACGTACTGAAGATAAAGCAAAGGGTTTGTGCATGTGGGAATATTCCAGGATTTTCTGTTCACTGATATTTCTAACATCTTGAATTACATTGTAGCAACTGTAAAAGCAGCGTGACCCTAGAAGGAATGACATGTAAACCTGTTTTGCAGTTATCTCTTATAAATTATTGATGAGCTAATAATACTTTGCTTTTTAGTAACTTTGAAGCATTAGGAAACTGCCTGTAACAGATTGATTTGTTGACCTAGTACATGTATGGAGTGTTACTGCTTTGAACCCTGTTAAATATCAAATGGTGGTACTTTGGTAAAACCCTGTTGAATTCTATTGCCTCATAGATGGCATTAATAGAAGATAGTATGATCTTCTCAATTTGAATCCTTTTGGTAGTTCTGTCATCCTAGCAAGTGAATATAGTTCCATCTGCTGTAGGTGCAGTGTAGCCATACCTTCAATTTATCCAAGTTGAGAAAACCTTGTTTTTTTCAATTATAGCCCAAAGAATGAATTTGTGTTCTTTTTCATAGAAGAGTATATGCCCACTGCCTTCTGGTCTGAGAACTAATCATTAGTATAGTATAGTGTATTTTTTTATTTCTACTAATATTTGAAAATTATTAAAGTAGAAATAATGCAGTTGCATAATTGGTATATACTTTTCATAATTATTTTTACTGAATTTGTGTTCTTTTGATCTGAAATGGGTATACTGACTAGGACATTCACTGAACTTTTCATAAATTTTACCTATTCTGGTTGAAAAACATATGAAGTCCTCTGAAATACAGGAGTGATACCAGTATGAAATTTTAGTGATTTTTACAAGTTTGATATTGATGGCATCTGTGGCTACATTCATTGAAGGATGTGGATGCCCTTGTGAAAAACAGAGCAAGCTAGCATATATGAATAAAAGTAAATCTTATGTAGTTATTGAAAACACAATTGTTTAAAAGCTGTTTAAAAGGATGTTTAAAAGCTGTTCTGCAGGAAAGCTGTTCTGTGTACTCCTTGTAATGACTGTCAGTGGCATATCTGCTTCCATTTGCTGTGAAGGGTCAGTACAGTTTGTCTGCTACTGCACATCCTGATTGATAAAATAGATCTTGCCAAGTGAAGAATTGTTGAACTAAATCTTATAAAAGTATGAGGTTGACTTACCCAAATGGCAAGATGATGAGAGATTTTTTTCTCTCAGTTGTAGTATGTATAGCTCTCATAATTCCATAAAGCCCTGTCACGTGCAGATAAATTCCTGTTGACATCAATTGGAATTCTGCATTAAAAAGATTAAAATACAAACACTGAAATTCCTTGAATTGAAATAATCTTTTTCTCAGGCCTAGTTAAAATGAATTCTTTCCAAGTTTTGGGTTTTTTTGTGAATTCTTGCTGCTCTTAATCTTTGTAGTTCAGTTTGAATTTTGTAACAGTTAAATTTGCCAAGAAGGAAAAGTGCTGGGGGAGGTCAGCAAATGCAAAAGTACAACACTTGCTTCTGTGGAGAATGAAAATGGACATGCCCTAGAGAGTAGCATGTAGATTGTAGATTTTTTTTTTTGTTGTTGTCCCTGCTGAGAATTACTTCCATTTGCAAAGTTTTCGTGTAAATGCAAGAAGTCTTAGTTGCATATTGCTCTAGACTTATATAGTTAAATAATTGGCATTTGTTTAGAAAATAAGATTCCTTCAGATTTTAAGGTAGTGCTAACATCATAAATTAATTGATTAGGTCTCATTAACAGTAACTATGAATCCTGTATTGAATAGATTCCTTAAATACATCTGTTTTCAAAGAAGCTGTAGTGCTTTAGTTGTCATAGTGCAATTGCATTTTAATTGTGCAGACTTATTAACAGTGGAATACTTGTGTTTAGCCACCTCGCACATCTCATCCTGTGGTGAAATTTTCCTGTACTGACTGTGAACCAATGGTCATTGACAAACTACCTTTTGATAAATATGAATTAGAACCTTCACCATTGACCCAGTTTATCCTGGAAAGAAAATCTCCTCAGACCTGCTGGCAGGTAAGTAGAGTGCATGCTGAATCAAAGTTTTTTATAGAATGCTATTTTTCCTAGAATTTATTCTCTAAACAAAATAGAATGTAAAATTTCAGAACACAGTACTTTGTATTTACATGCAATGTGATGTGGTTTATTGCAGGTATATGTGAGCAATAGTGCAAAGTACAGTGAACTTGGTCATCCTTTTGGTTACTTGAAAGCGAGTACAGCACTGAATTGTGTGAATTTATTTGTGATGCCTTACAATTATCCAGTCCTCCTTCCACTGCTAGGTAAATACCACTTCATACAAATTTTCTTATGCAGTAGGCAATTCAAACATTGATGTCATCTAAACAGATGACTGCAATTAGTGCAGGTATTCATCACAAACCTATAGAAAGGTAGAATCAATAACTTGTTTCACTTGTCTCCAATTGGCTGACCTTCATGACTCAGACTCTAAAATTTGCTTAATCATCATTTTCTGATATGTTTTGGTATCACTTTCAATATTTTAGGAGCCATTTTTCCTAATCCATTGTATCAATGCCAATTCATTTTGATAAATAATTTATCAGGTTTCATCTTTCGGCTGCAGTGTTTATCTTGTGTGTGTATGTTTAGTTGTATATATGTTAATTTACAGGTATTCACTTAGGTATTGGAGAACTTGCATTTCTTCAATAGTTTCTTTTACTAGAACTTTCTTTTTTTTTGAGAAAATAATGTAATGCTGTCTAGATACTAGATATGCCTTTTATTTTGTCTCTTTGCTTCTTGTAACCCTTAGATGACTTGTTTAAAGTACACAAGGCAAAGCCTACATTGAAATGGCGTCAGTCATTTGAAAGCTATTTGAAGACAATGCCCCCTTATTATCTTGGGGTAAGATGACTTACTGTGTTAAAATTTTTATTTTGTGGTTTTCTTTCCACTATGGATGTGGTCTGTATTTCAAATAAAATATGTATTAATTCCACAGAGAATAGTTAAACTTCATAGCTAGTGATAGTTTTTTCACTGGAGTCCTGTGGGGGACCTGAGACCTGAATGTTATGAAAATTTCATAATCTCATAATACACTGTGACTTGTATATAAATGATATCTTTGTTAATAAATAAGTGGTTCTGTATGAATGGCACTATGTTTAAAAACAAACACCCACAAAATGCTACCCTGAGAGTCTTTGTTCTTTTCTTACTTTGAGAACCTTGGGTTCTGTTTGAAATGGATACAGTTGGTTGAAGTATCTATAAAGTTAAATGTGACCATAAATATATTCCATATTTCAGCCTTTGAAGAAAGCTGTGAGAATGATGGGAGCACCAAACCTTATAGCTGACAATGTGGAATATGGACTTAGTTACAGTGTCATTTCATATCTCAAAAAGTTGAGTCAGCAGGTAATGTTGAAGCAAAAGAGCAGTGAAAACTTATTCTAATATCAGGATAATCTTAAAATACTGAAGTTCAGTGGGTTTGAAGGAAAAAAGAGCAGAAAGATGAAGTCAATACCTTCCCATAAGCAATTGGCGAAAGATAATTTTGGTCTTCTGAATTGCAGGAAAACATAACATTTAAATATAGACTTTGTAAACTGGACTATAAAGATAGATATGGAAGTATAAAATGTGATTTTTTTTTATTCATTTAAGGAGCATTTTTACTTGTACAGACAGTAACATACTTTTGTCCAAAAGAAAACATGTTGTCGTACCTTAGATATTAAAGATGTTTTAGGATTTTTTCAGGAAATAGAGAATTTTACTTCATGCATCTGAATGAAAGTGTCCTTTTTTGGCTTGTGACATGAAATGGAAAGTGTTCAGTAAATAAGATAACTGACATAATTCAGAATCTGAAATGAGGATACAGATGTAGAAGTGACAAGTGACTATTTGAAATTGTTGACTGTGTTCAGAATAGTGCCCGTATCTTTGACTAGTCTCCTGCACCAGCTAAAGCATTTCTGCCCTGCTACCTCCACTTTTATTCAACTGTGCATGTTAAGCTTTCTGTTCCAGATAATAAAATAGTAGGCTTGAAACTTCAAGAAATGGTAGTGCCAAGTACTTGTAATTCAGCTAATGAGCTCTTATGGATCAGTTTTTTTCTTAAAACATTAATATAAATGATTACTTGAGGAAGCAAATGTCTTGAAGTTTACTGTGTGTTCTGTTAAATCAGTCATGTTGCTCAATACTGTGTGACCTGATGTCTTAACGTAGACATCTTTGGCTCCTCTAAAATGTGATGACATGCACTGCAAATTGTACTTAAAGCTTTTTGAACTTCTGGAAGGCCCTGCCAGTAAAGACTGACTATTCTCAATAAGTACATATTCAAATTCTGAGTAGTCTATAAATTAGTGAAATTGGAAAAACAAAATTGGCAGGTGTATTACTAAATTCCTTTGGGTCTTTGTTCCACTGTATTTTGTCAAAAAGCTAGCATTTATGAATATGTTTAATTTTGGTGCAAATCTAACATGATATTGAAGGTTATGTCTGTCTAGCCAAACAGAATCAGGTATTATCATATATTCCATTTTTAATACTGTTATGATTATTTGTATTAAGCTTCTAAAAAGTTGATACCACTGGGTGACTGATCACAACTATAGTTGCAGGAGAATCAGTCTTGTGAGAGACTGTTTCCTACAATAACAGAGAATTACTAGTCAAATTACGGCATTTTATGAAAATAAAAGCATTGCATGCATATTGGTGCTTAGATACCATAATGGGCAGCAGAGGAGAAATATGCAGAAGACCTAGGCACAAACTGTTCACTATATTTAAAATTGTAGTAAGCATTAAGTGGTTATGTATTAAGTACTCCTTAAGCGCTCATCCTGGTTATGGTCATCATAGTGTGTTAGCACGTTGTTGAATCTTGTAGGTAGGAATTTAAAATGAATAAGTCTGACTAATCCTTTTAAGAGCATATTGTCAATTTTATTTATTTATTTATTTCAAATTAAGGCCAAAATAGAGTCCGATAGAGTCATTGGCTCTGTAGGCAAAAAGGTAGCGCAAGAGACTGGAATTAAGGTCAGAAGCAGATCACACAACCTGTCTATGGCACATAGGAACGATTTTCAACATCTGCTACAGGGGATTACTGGGGAAATTCCTCATAGACCTCTAGACCTCAATATGAAGGAGTATGCTGGGTTCCAAATAGCTTTGCTGAATAAGGTAAGCACCACTGTGTGTAATGTTGTTATTTTCAATATACTTCCATTGAAATGCTAGATATTGTTTTTTACATGGCATTAATTGGGACTTCATTTACTGGAACCATAGGATTTGAAACCTCAGACTTTTAGAAATGCTTATGACATACCCAGAAGAAATCTTTTGGATCAGTTAACACGAATGAGATCTAATTTACTGAAGAGTACTCGCAAGTTCCTGAAAGGACAAGATGAAGGTTAGATAACAGTTTGTTTTGTCTACCTGTGATATGATTATTACTTAAAAGCAAGGTAACAAATAGTGTAGTTCTTTAAAACTTGGATGTCTGTTGCCATTAAACTGCATGGTTTCTTAGATACTTTTTCCTTAAATAGCTCACTGGAGGAAAAATGGTGAGGATAGAGAAGATTGCACATTCACTGCTCTGTCCTTCAATCCATATGAGGAAACCTGGGCTTTTACAGAATATTCTTTTTTCAATTTTTTTTCTTACTTTTGTGGATGTATTGGATGAAAAAAAAAAATCACAGCAGTTCTGAATGTTATGATCTCTCTCCATAGAAGTGGATTGTGAACAGTGGAAAAGTAAGCTAGCTCACTGGTTGTTGCCAGTGTGATTCTTTTGCCTGTTAGGCCAACAAAAAATAGTTCAGTAGTCTGCTAATTTATTTCTTTACCTTTTTCCTGTGTCTTCTGGCACTGCTTTATGGCATCTAACAGAAGATCAAAAAAGTGGAGAAGATGAGAAGGGTAATGCAAATGAACACATATGTTATATTAGTCCTGCCACTACTTAGGTCAGATTAACATCTGTGCATTTCACATTATAGTACCACTTTGTCAGAGTAGTTCTTTGAGGAGGGGTTTAAACTACCTAAAAACTCAAGTTAGGGCTTTTTTCTCTGATAGTTGTTCTGATGCATGTTTTTCTGGATCAAGCCTTGGCAAATCTAAAGCCATAACAAGTTTAGAATTGGGTTGTATGGATTTTTAAGAATTTGCTGACTACAGTGGTCAGAAATCACCCTTGCTTTGGTAAAATGCTAGTCTTGACAATTAAATTTTGGGTAGCTAAAACTGGGCAGTTATGTCAAAGCTGTGTACAGCATGGCATGACTGCTTTGCGTTAATGTATCTTTTGTATTATTGTTTTAGTTCTGATTTGTTCCCAGTCTGTTTTTTCACCCGTCAACCTGTTGAAAAGTTACAGGACACATGGGAAAACTAACATCCATGCCTAACAACTTCTGCTTATTTCCTGTCATGATGATAAATCCACAAGACATGTACTGATTCATTTAAGCAAGTTGCCTGCAGTGAAAACAGTGTTATAAATACCAGTTAGGCAAGAAAAATGGTGTTTTGTACACTTGTTCTGTTAATGCATTTGATGGAAGTATGAAGACTAAGGTGTAAAGTGGGTATAGACTGAATTTTCATAAGGCGAGCAGTGGTGTATATTAATAAACTTTTCTATTATGATAGATCAAGTTCACAGCATACCTATAGCACAAATGGGAAACTACCAGGAGTATCTAAAACAAATACCTTCTCCACTCCGAGAACTTGATCCTGATCAACCACGGAGGCTTCATACATTTGGCAATCCATTCAAATTGGACAAAAAGGTGACTTTTCTGTAAAGCTTTTTAAAAAATGTGTGATTGTGTGTACTGCCACTTACCTTGCTCTTCTTGAGTAGTCTGTTGGATAAACCCTTTCAAATATTTTTAAAAGCACTCCTTACAAGAAAGCATCTCAGATGTTTTTCCATCAGTAGTATTGTATAGAGGGCAGTCTTTATTGAAAAACCAGTGTTATGCCTCTAAATTATATTATAAATGAAATACATTTGTCTCTGTAGTATAGCTAATATTTAATTGTGTTTTATTTACCAAGCTTCCACCAGGAAAAGCTTCCCATAACTTCAGGAATCTGGACTGTCCCTTCTGTCCAGATCTTTCTTAGAATTGACCAAACTGCCAATATAGTTTAGAGCCTTTGTATTAAATGTGAGTTGCTTTGGAGTTACTGAAAAGGAAGTTCGGCCCACTCTGTCTTACTTGGCAGACTGTTGGATAAGGGCCTTAAGCACATTGATTTAGTCTTGGAAGGATTTGGCTGACACTTTATAATTCCAAACATAATGGCATGTTGTATGTAGCTACCTTATACATACTAAACATTATCGTAATATCAAAGCATTAATTGTACTTTGTAGTTTTGGTGTAAAGTTTAAGAATTCTTCCTGTTAATTAATTACAGGGAATGATGATAGATGAAGCAGATGAATTTGTATCAGGACCTCAGAATAAACATAAAAGACCTGGAGAACCAAATATGCAGGGGATTCCAAAAAGACGGCGCTGTATGTCCCCCCTGCTCAGAGGCCGACCACAAACTCCTCCAGTTGTGAATAACCACATTGGAGGAAAAGGGCCACCAACACCAATTGCACAAGCACAGCCTGACCTTGTTAAACCTATTGCTATTCACAGAAGTAAGTGAATCTTCAACTTCAGAGTTTGCTGTTTAATTTATGCAAAAAACCTTGTTTGTGTAAAAATACTGCTGGTGATTTATCAAATAGGGCAGTTTTATACCTTGTTTTTGAAAATGAAGTATTTAAGTGTGCATCTGGGGTTAATTACAGAAAGAGTTCATACAGTCCTTCAGACTGAAGTTTCTTTTGTATGAATTCCAGGTATAAACAATATATTTCCTGTACTAAAGGAAGAGACAATGTAAACAGGGAGAAGGTGTTGCTCCTTTGCCTGGAAATTCACCTTCACAAGTATCACAACGTGAAGTTATTTTGAATTTTCTTCTAATGCAGTGAAATCACTTCCCTTATTGTGGAGTGGAGCTGCTGTTTAACAATCTTGCTCGCAGTTCAGTACTAATGTAAGTTAAGTTGATTTAATAGGAAAAGACACCATGTCATAAAAGCACATCTTACAGGTGGTTTTTGTTGGTAGTTCATAATTTCCTTTTTTTTGTATGAAGAATATACGTGTGTGTTTTTTTTTTTTAATTTTAAAAGCCATTAATTGCCAGAAGATGTAGTGATGGGCTCAATATTATAACCCACAAACAGATTTTCTTATGCTTGGTGTGTACAGTAGACTGACTATACAAGCTGGAGCTTAGTTTTAAAAGAGTCCAATACTGACCTGACTCGCTGACTTCTATCAAATGATGAAGAATGTAAAACTGGCAAGTGTAATCTTTGTTTTTTCAGCATCAGAAACAAATAATGAAGTTGCAATTGATGATGTCATTGAGAATCACGTTACAGGCCCACTTTCATCAGATGTTTTCCCAAATTCTGCGGATTCAGAGTTTTCACTGTCTTCTTCGCCATTCAATTCTTTGGATCGACCAACAGCTCATACAGATGATGTGGTCCGTGAGCATTTAGGGAATAATTTGAATGTTGATGGGTTTTTGGAGAATCATGAGGAATCAGGTAGTAAAGAGCAAAGTACTGAAGAGAACTTCCCAATGTCTTCACCCAACAAAGGGAAAAAACCAGTTCATTGCAGAAGTTCCAGAGAGATCAATATAGACCTAAGAGCACAAATTATGAAAGAGATCCGAAAACCAGGAAGGAGTAAGTATACTAGATATCTTTCAGATGATTGACATGAGGATTAAACAAAGAATTCATATTAGATTACCATTTTAGAAATGTACTGAACTATAAGACTGAAGCAAAATACATTTAAAGCTGAAAAGGTTTGTTTTAAAACCTCTGCCAAAAACTTCCTATATGAGTGATTAAAATATTGCTATACCTATCAATGTTCTTGAAAGCTGTGGGTTTTGTATCATCAGTATTAAACTTAACTTGTTAGGTGTTCCAGTAATACCCTAAACTGCAATAATCTCTGTTCTTTCATGTTAGTTTTCATTAAACAGTATGTCATTACTGTGATTGGAGATACAGCCTGAAAGCTTACAAAAACTTGAAGTTTGTTGCATTTCACTCAGATCTATTCAAGAGATATCTGTATAGGCATTTTTAAATAACTGATTTCTTTCTTTTCTTTACCTTTAAGAGTATGAAAGAATCTTCTTTTTACTGAAACATGTACAAGGAAGCTTACAAACCCGACTGATATTTTTACAGAATGTTATTAAAGAAGCTTCAAGGTAGGTAACTGAATTGTATTAATCTTATGAACTGCACCATGTAGTGCTATACATAACTGCTTGACAACCATGCAGTTACTCGTTTGGAAACAATGCACTGCAAGTAAGCAATTCCCTATGAAAAAACAGAAATGCTTAAGCTTCTTGAGGTGTTGTTTACACAAGCTTACCTTTTCCCCTCAGATTTTGTCTTAAAAATTTAGCAACTGTAACTGTCAAGTCACTGTAAACGTAGATGGACAATGGGATAGAAAGAGTAGGTAACTTTAAAAAGATCATTCAGATTTCAAAGTTCAGGTGTAAGTATACTGCTAATTTGAAAATCTGATGGAGTTGCATATTACTGTGAGTTGGGCTTTCAGAAACAGTTGAAATTAAGTATTCTGCATCAGCTCAAAATTTTGTCCTAAAAATAGTCTTGACATCCAGGTATGCTCTGTAAACATGTGTCTACTCTTTAGACATTTAATTCCAACATTATAGTCCTGCCTGAGACTTTGGAAATGGAGGTAGCTTTTCACTGGAGAAGAGACTTGCTGAGGATTTAAACCCTGTGTTGTTGATCCAGGTAGAAACTGTTCCTTACAGTATCCTGTAGATAGACTGTCCAAACTTCACCTTTTGCATATCAACTAAGAGGAAAGAAATGAAAAACATATTAGAACCAATAATGTTTGAGTTCCAGGGAACTAGTAATTCCAGCAGCTTGCTTGCAGCATAAATATAGCTAACTTTAAAGCTTACTTCCAAAACTTCAAAGAATAGTTGCTTTTTCTTCCTCTGTTCTATTTTTGTAGCAGTCAGCTTTTTTCCTGTGGCATTATTGAACAAATTTTATGATCAAGAGACAAAGTAATTTTTGGATAAAACCATGCTAAGAGTTTAAGGTGCACTGGACATTGGACATTTGTACAGATCCTCTAGCCTTTATTGTCAGCTTGGCGAGGCATGTAAATTTATATAGATCATGCTCTTTCTATAGCAACGATTACTTTATCATGCTTTTGTCTGGTTGATATATTGCCTGTCAGAGTTGTTGCATAGCTTGCAGGTTAAACGTGCTTCCTCACTGTCATGGGACACCAAAAAATAGTGTTGCTCTTGGAGTTTGTGGCAGCCTTTAGTGGGGTTAGAATATTTGAGTCTTTAAAATTAGACTCTTAAGATCACCTGTAACTCATTTTTTTTCTGCACAGCCTCTTTGTTACACCTATCTTGAGTTGACACTTTTCCTGCAACCTTTGGTAGTGATTGAGTGTTGCTGTTGAATGCATCAGAATTAAATCCTATCTCCTACCATAACCTACAGTTTTCTGTATCTACTGGTGGAAAAGGCTGACTTTTCTTTGTTTCTGGTTGTTGTTTGTTTCTGATTGTTGTCAACTTCAATTTTTATTGATTTGAGTGTAGGAACAGCTTGATCTCCCTCCTCCTCTTCTCTTGTTGGTTATGTTTTTAGAGTGTGATCATTTTATCCACCTGGATAACACTGCCTACAAACCCTGTTCACTTCTTTGCCTCTTTCCTTATCCAGGCAAGCTATCACAACCCAGGTTTCCTGCTCCCTACAGGAAACATCTCTAGGCCTTCCAGAGCTGTCAGCCTAGTTTTGTTTTGTTAACTGATAGCTGACTTTACGATGCCATGGAATGCAATTCAAATTTGGGATGACTGCTTTCGTTCCCTGCTCCAAGAAGCTCTGTCTCTGAACACAGGCTAGGGAAAGCTCTGGATCACTTCAGCAACAAAGTGTGTTTATAAAGAGCCCCATTCAGTTTTGGAGGTTAGTCCACTATAGTTGTAAAGGGAGAGGAAGATTTATAAAACAGTCCCCAGCTTTCAGCTTCCTTTGGAAACTGACTGGCCCACAGTTCCTCTTTTGGCAGCAGAAAACCGATCACTTTTGAGAGGCAATGAGGAAAAATGGAGGGGAAGCAGTACTTAAATGTGGTATGTCTGTGGGATACTGAGGACAACTGTAAGAAAGATGGTAAGAGGCCAGAGCATGGGTATTCACTGACATAGCGGTTGGGAATGGGAGCTTGTTTTCCCCATAGTCAAGCTGGGATTGTGAAGATTCCTGTGATAGGGAAATTAGGGCAGATACCATGTCTCTGTGAGCCAATGACATGGACCAGGATGCCTGACTGGAACCTAGAGGCTTTTGCTGGGCTTTAGTCAGGTCAGAGAACTGAACTTGGTGTATAGTTCAAAATGTTTTCATTGCTGCCTGTCTGTGAGCACACATGTGGCTACCAAAGCATTGGTCAGAAGTGGCTTCTCAGCCCTTCCCCTTGTGACATTTCTGCACCTATCTGGAAACAGCAAGGAGTTTTACTTGTTGAGGCAGGGGGTGTAAGCAAAGGTGACAGAATGGCCTACTGTTTAGATTTATTCAATCTATACAGAATAGAACTGCAGAGACTCCAGATGTATGGATTATGCCTGTATTTTTCTTTAATTTCTTTCTCAAAATCTAATTTGTGTTTTTGTCAGGAAATCTGCTCTGCGTTGTGTAATGGCTGTTCCTTCACCAGTACCAACTTCACTAACCTTCTGTGAATGCACCATGAAGGCATGCAAATAATTCCTAAAAGCTTTTGCCAGCTTTAGAGTTACAGTTCTTTTGACAGATATTTTACTTCTGTATTTCAGAACTACTTCTAGAAGAAGCAAACACTTAACTTGCTTTTACCTGGATTTATGAGGGCTGAGTGATGTTCAGCAATGTGCTAGAGTAGACTGTAGTAAACGTAGTTTTGTACTCATTAAATGGAAAAGCAAGTTAGCAGTTAACCAGAATGTTAGGAGAACAGCGTATATACATATGAGATATTTGTAGTCTCACCATGTGCTGGTCCTAAAGTAATAGCTGAACCTTCCAGGGTTCAGGAGAAGTTTTCTGAATGATGTTTCATGTATTACTGTGTGCATCCATTATCATGTTTTCTTTTAAATACAGGTTTAAAAAACGGATGCTAATAGAACAGCTTGAGAGTTTTCTGGAAGAAATCCATCGCAGATCCAATCAGGTCAACCATATCAACAGCAGCTAGGAAACTGCACACAAGAGAAAGCCACAGCAGGGCACTGCTGTCCTTAATTGCATTCATTTTTGACATGCACTCTTATCTCCAAGTTCCTGTACCTGAAAGAATGAGCTGCTCTATAAAATGATGAGAAGAGTATCCATCATCTTTCTTTTTTTTTTTCCACTTCTGTTATTTTTGTAATGTGAAAAATACTACGAAAACACTTTTATTTAACTAAATGGAGAACTTCTTGCTTGTCATGGACATAAGTGTCACTTTCCCTCAGGTTCTATTTTTCTTAATCCAACCTTCAAAACTATCACCTCTTAAGGTTGAACTTTGCCAAAAAGTTGCTTTGTAATTTTCAAAAAAAAAAAAGCACATACATTAAGCAAGGTAATGTTTTGTATATACAGTTATTTTGGATATATTATTGTAAGTTGTATAAATGTATTTTGAAAAATATTTAAGAAAAGCACTTTTGTTATTCCATCAATAAAATCTCTATTTTAATCTTTGTGTAGGTTTGAGTACAGTTTTTGTTGGAGTGATTAATTTTCCCTTCCCTTTTCAGAGCTTATATATTCTAGTATCAGTGTTAAAGAATTAAGTGTTTTGTATTACTGGGTATTCCATTAATCAGAGAATGGGTGAAAGAAAGCTAATGCTGAATTGCAACTACAGTAGGATGATATATTAACCCTTCTCTGTTTGGTGATGTTCTGTATGCACATTTGCAGCAATGACAAACCTCTCAGTTCTACTGAGAGATAGAGTGGGGTAAAGCATGAGTCAGTAGGCTGCACAGGTTTTTTCTGTGTCAGAAGTTTTTATGTGTTTACAAGTGCAGGAATAGCCAGAAGGTGCTGCTGCTTGGACACAAAATATCACTGATTGCTTTACTGGCCTTGTCTTTCATCTGTGCTTAGATGTGCCCTGAATTTCTAGAAAGCTTTGTTTGATTTAGTGGGAGCTAAACCTCTCTGCTTTTCGTAGGAGTCAGTGGTTTGCAGTCTTCACCCAGAATCTCTGGGCCTTGGGTTCTGGTGCTTGTACTGTGAGTCGCTGAACACTTGCTGTATCCCAGCTTTTGTCAGGATGCTGAAAAAACTCACATTTTCTAGATGATTTTAGCTTCATTCAGTGTTCTTTGGGAATGTCCATTCTGTGTTGCATACACTTCAAAGGTAGTAAAGGTAGTACTGCTACTTTTTTGGCAAAAATATTTGTTTGGTCACTGATTGAGTGGGTATTTCTGCTTCCTATCTGCTCTGTCTGGAATAGGCTGCCCAGGGAAGTGGTAAAATGGCCATCCCTGGGAGCATTCAAAAGTGTGTAGATGTGGTGCTTAGAGACTTGGTTTAGTGGTGGATTTGGCAGTGCTGGGCTAATGGCTGGACTTGATGATCTTAGACACCTTTTCCAGCCTTGATGATTCTATGATTCTGTGCCAGTTGTGAAAGTCTTTCAACTATATTTTCTTTTCACAGCATCATGCTGTTTGCTCGATACCTTACTATCTCAGCTGGATTATATCTGTCTGGGGTCAGACTGAATTTCAATTTTATTCAGCTTTTTACTTCAGGACAGGGAAATGAAATTGTGCTTGAAAAATAACATCACAAAACTTTCTTGTAGGATACTTTCATTCAGATGACCTATATACTCAGCAACAGTCAAGCTTTTAGCCATGATGAAGTTAAGTAGCAGCTGTTGGCCCATACTGTTAAATATTTAGGGGGCAAAATTTGTTCATTTTTTTTCTCAAATGTTTATATGCTTACTGTCTTTGCTGTAGTTGTGGTGCTCATGATTCCTAGACAGCTATAAGTTTCCAACAGTATGTACAATGTATTAAAGTAGTGGAGGGCTTACTCTCACTTTTTCTTGCAAAAGTGTTACTGCTTAAAGCAGTGTTTTAATAAGTACATATAATGTAGCCTTTAATTTCTTTGGAGGAAAGCTCACCATAGGAGGAACAGAAGACAGTTTATTTGTTTAGTGCTTATTATGAAGGATTTGTAACTCTTCCTATAAAGAGTACTGAACCTGTAAATGAAAACAATATTAATGTTATTTCAATTTAGGGGCTCACTTTCAAAGTGTAGTTCAGTTTAAATACATAAACTAAGCATGGGATTAGCAAATCATGGAATCACTCATTGCTTATATGGAAAAACTGACTGCAATTGCACCCTTGTCTTAGAATAATTTGAACATTTCTATATTAAAAGCAAAAAGACCTTTTCAAGTAGTTGGTAGCCCAAACTAGAAGTTTGCCAAAATCTTAAACCTACCCAAACCATTGGCTAAAGAATCACTTCTGAACTGAGGAAAACAGAGCCTGAGTTCATTGCTTTGTGTTTGTGTTTTAGTTACAGAAGATGTTATTACAACCCCTTGAATGAAATCACTGCCTCAGATACATTGGATTTGTTGTTGTGTGTATTGCTGTTACCTTGCCTGTCCTTCAAAGGGAATGTGTTCAAATGTGAAATTCAAATTAAAAAACTTAACTTTTTTAATTATTTTGAGCAGAACTATGCCATTTTAAGTCTTGGAAAAATATATTTCTACTATTACTAGAAGATTGATGCAGTGAAGATTCTTGGTCTGCATAAAAATTCATTGTGAACTTATGGACATAGTGAGTTTTAAGCACCTCTAGATAGGTTGGTAAAATATACTAACAATCTATCTTGTTTACCCTTTCCCCTTTTCATACCTGAAAAAATTGTCACTAAGTCTGAGTAAACAAAATGACTCCATTAAAAAGCTAAAAGTACAGAAATGTACTTCTGATTTTGAGTTGATTAGAAAGTATTTTATACCTCACATAAAAATCTTGTTTTACAATCTGATTTCCTTCCTTTATATAACATATATTATAAACTGAGCCATTCTATTCACCAAAATCAGTTTGTTCTTAATCCTGAAGAATCTGTGGCTCAGGCTTCATAGATGAGCTAATTGATGCTTTTTTATTTTAAAATTCCGCGTTAGCCAACTAAAAATGCTTTTGTTCATTAACTGTTAATGATTGCCAAAGCATATTTAAAACAAAACTTCCACCAAGGTGTAGTGATTTTTCTCTTTTAAAAATAGCTGCTTGCATTGTGATGTTGAAATGTTAAGATACGGATTTTTAAAGCAGAATATTGCGTACACAGGTATTCACTGACTAAGAGAAGTGTGTTGCTTGGAAGCAGATAAGGAAAACTATTCTCTGTGGTCTTCTTATTAGGCCCCAGTATTTTACTGAACCCTATAAATTACTGTGTTCCCCACTTAGGAGAGAAACTTGGTGGTTTGAAGGATTTATTTAAGCTGCAAATTTACTGCATTGCTAAGAATGGTAAGAGCTGTTGGAGATGGCCTGATGCTTCAGAGGAGCAAATACCTACTAAATAGTGCATAATGCAATTTTTATTATTGCCAACGAGCTATATAGTGTTTTCTTTTGGCAGAGATTCTGGAATAATGTGATTGGACATCTGAAATGAGACAATAATACTGAAGCTAAAGGAGCACTGTGATGCTTCTCTCTCAAGACGTGCTCTGCAGTTTTGTTTGTGTTTCTGGTTGGATTTTTTTTGTTCGGGTATGGGGGTGGTCAAGAGTTACCAGTTGCAAAAGAAATGCTCTTTTTTTTTTTTTTTTTGGTAGAAGTCTGTTTGCTATCAGTATAGGCATGAGTAAGTTTCATTTATAGGGAAAGATCTCTATTTTAACTATTTCCAATGTTAATCTGGCCAGTTTGTAATTTTAATAGCCCTGTGGAGTTCAGTATTTAATGTTAGGGCATTTAAAATCTTTAAGATCTTTCTAGTGCCTAAAGCTGTTGTAGAAATCTCTGAGGTCGTACTGCATCCAGAGAAGAGGCTAATCTGACTTCTATGAGTCGTGCATTCTTTTTAAGGAAATTAAACCATAGTCTTTTTGCTTTAAAAACCCAAACCCCACTGTTCCCATGTTTGATGAAATTTCCTGGATTGAAGAATGGCAGGCTATTTAGAAAGAACTTGTATTGATTTCAGTGCTACTTGTGAAGAATTCTGCTCCTGAAAGGCAGAGCATGCATACCTGTATTAGCTTGTCTCAGAAAAAATGTGAAGGGTCGGTCTGCTTTGAAAATAGGTGTTCGAGATCTTTTTAGTAATACCATTGCTGTAATGCAACAAAGAAAAAGCATTAGTAAAATGCATCCCTTTTCTTTGCATCTTCTGTACAGTGCCCTCAAGCTCTGATGTTTAGTACCTTGAGTTTTGAGTTGCTCCTCTGCTTTAACTATAAACCAAAAATTTTATCCAACAGTGAAATCAGTCTGAATTAATGAGTCCAGAGTCGTGAGACTACATGCAGGTGATTTGTGTGTATTTTGATGCTGAAGTGAGTCCTTCTGGCTTTGGATTTCAAAGGTAATGTAATTCTTGATGTTATTGTAGCCCTAACTCTTCTGAAGTCATACCATGCTATTGCCTCACCTTGGCAATTCTTGGCTGTGCTGTTCTGATGAAAAAGATAAGCAAGGCACAAATGTAGTCCCTTTTCTAATTGGGAGACATGGAGCAGAGAAATATCTGTCATCCTGGAATTTCCCTTGTCAGAGCTCTGAACAAAACCGAAGTATCCTCAATCTCAAGTTATGATTGATTTTCCATTCTCTGTTCGTGGGTTAATTATTAGATTAAATAAAGAATCCTTAAGAATTATGATGTCTCAGCTATTATTAAAATACATCTTTAAATAAATTATTCTTTGTAGCTATGTAGTATTAAGAATGCATTGTCAAAACACCCCAATACTAAAACCAGCAGATTTGGATTATTTTTTGAGAGGTTAAAACAATGAAATTAATTTGAAGACTCAAGACACAGTAAAACTAGTTTGAGAGGCAGTGTTTTAATGCTCATAAAAATGCCTGTTTTTTGCTTTCAAGCCACCAAGTGACTAGATCCAGAACTTTTAAAGTGAACAAACATATTTTAAAATCAGTTTCTTAGCTTGGTCTGACTGGAGTTAAGGGAGTTTTGGCATTGGTTTCAATGGGATAAAGGTCTATTACCCTCAGATTGAAGCCATCTAAAAGCTTTTATTTTGTGTAGGGATTAGTAGAAAAATTATGAGAAGTAATAGAGAGGAAAATAGTTTCAAAATTTAAAACTACAGCTCTGCAGAAAGGTTAACTTGGTTACATCAACTGTTCACTGTACACCCACCTGTGTACTACATGTGTCAGATTCAAAACTGTTTCTAGAGAAATACTATAAATACACCAACTCAGGTGTGCTCAGGTTCCTTTTGCATTGTGACTGTGGGACATTTGGGTGAGGGAATGTGCACACTGCAGTGAGGTTCACTACTCTCTCTATGTGCCTCTTGAATTCCTTCCTGGAAGCAAGGAGGAGAAGTGGGAGAGACTCAGATCTTGCCCTGATCCACAGTCAAGGACCACCACTAGCATTTGCATTGTGCGTGTGGAGCATGTCTACAGCTGGCACAGCCCAGGGAAGGAGAAAGATGAGAAGTGGTTAATGATCACCCTGCTGCTGTGCTGATATTTGAATGGCTTGAGGGCAAGTTCAGCCTTTTCAGAGAAGGAATGGAAGGGGTTTAGGATTACAGTTGCTTTCCATGCTTGCTTGGATCATCTGAGGCTTCCAAAGACAAAACAAGAAAAGCAGGGGCCTTCTTTGATAAGGCTCACGTGACCAATTAAAAAAAAAAGGGAGGAAGACACAGCTCACTAATTTTGGTTCCCCTGCTTTATGTAAATTGCGTGAAGGATTTCAGCTGGTGAAGGTAATTTACTGGCTGTGTAGTCTGTAGCTGAGATTTTACTCTGAATCTCCCTGTTCACCCAGCCCCAGCTGCTCATGAGGAAATGATCCTGTAGCAGAAGCTACTGCATGTGAAGGCCACACTTCAAAGTATGTAAGAATCAAGCCTGTCTTCGTAAAACTTTCCCATCATTACATTTTAGTGCTATCAAAGAGATCATCTTCAAATCTTATAGCAGTTCAGGCACTATAGATAAAATACTACCAAGCTTTTCTCATTATTTGTTTTTATGGTCTGGATAAACATATTTGACCAACAGAAAAATAAGTGGTGTATTTTCTCAAACAGAATTTTCCCTGGGTTGATAAAGTTGTTTTTCATTAGAGCCGTTACATGTTAGACTGAGATGAAAAATTACAGGTTCTTACAAACATTTACAAAGGTAAAATGGAAGTGTGTTAAATATAAAAGTTTAAATTTAGATTAGGCATACATTTAAATGCTACTGTACTTGTTTGCTTTATTTTAAAAAAAAGGCTAGTAGTTGGTTTTGTAAGAGGCTCCAGAAATGAGAAGTTATGTCTGTATATTTGATTTACCTGTAGCTCCTGATGCCTTTGTACCATCTTCTGTTATTTCAATCTCTGCTTTGTGAATAGCTTCCGAAATGTAAAGACTATCTTGATCTGAAAAAAACCATGTTAATAGTTATTTTCTGAATTCCATTACAAACTTATTTTTAAAAGTAATCAGAATGCTTTTGCCTTTTTTCCTGCAGAATCTAAGGATCTTATAACTGTTAGGTATTTTAACCACCTAAACTGGTTTTCCCCTATATGGACAACAGTGGACTGAATGCTGGATGGGAGTTACTAGTTTGAGAGGTCTCCAGGTTGTGGTAGAAGGCAAGGTTACATGGTGAAAGTAGAAACTAATTAACACAGTGAGGACAAGGCAAGAACTGAGGAACCATTGAAAGGAAAACAACAGGAAAAAAATGCTCTTCAGGAAAAAACAATGGGACTGTGACATAAAATGGAGCTTGGAAAAAAAAACTATTTCAGAAAGCTACTGAGTATTACAAGCCTGCTTCTCTCTAGCTGACTGTGGAGGGCAGAAAGCAGGGAAGGTTGGCAGACTATTTTTTCTTGTCAAATACTTCTACAAGCCTTATCCTCTGATGGAAGCTACCAGGGTGCGTACAGAGGAAGGAAGCTGCTAAATTATATTGTTTATGGAGTTAATTTCCTCCAAGCATGTGTCTTATTTAAATAGATATTAACTTTATAAAATACATCTTTGCACACTTCATCAGTATATTAATACTTGTTTGCAATAAACAAAGCAGCAGGCTTTAACAAAAAAGTGAGCAGCAAAATTATTTTAATGTGCATCTCTTTGCAGTCTGAGATATAGAACATAGCAATAGAACACTGCTATGTTCAATTTTAAAAGTGGCATGAAAAACTCCGTGAGAAATGTGCCTTCTGAGGTTCATCTCAGGAAAGTAATTTTTCTGTAAGAGCAGGTTTGAACTGAAGGAATTCCAGTTATTCTCTCACATGCACAAGAATGTAAGGTGCTCTCTGGGCTGCTACCACTCTGAGTCTTTACTATGAGCAGAAATGACTAAGGTGAAAATCTTTGTGTTGCTGGAAGTAGTCGAAGAAGAAAGAAAATTGATAATTTGGGTTCTTTTTGTATTTAATATTAAATGGGGCAAAAATTTTCCAAGGAGCAGAAGAATTTCAGGCTTCCAAAACCAAGAGTTTAGTCATAACACCAGTATTTTAGCAAAGGGAAAGTATAACTCCATCCACTGGTCTCACTGGATTAGCAAGATAATGTGACCTGGGCCTATACCACTACTGTTTGTAGTGTTAGGAGCTGAAATACAGACTTGTTGGTCCAGCATCCCTAACTGTTTAATGACTATTTAAAAACACAAATAGGATGCTTTAGTACAACTTGCATTCCTAAATTTCTGAATAAATAAACATTTTTCAGGCCTATGCCATCTTGACAGTTTTAATCTTAAAGAAATCAGAAGGAAAAAGTAAGCTCAAGACCCAAACCAACCCTGTCCTTTTCAGGTTCTTCTTTTCCACAAAAATGCTCAAAATTTTATCAGTTGGCAAAATTGATAAAATCAATTGATAGAATAGAGCAGTTGAGGTGTAAGCTGTGTTTTGAAATTTCGCAGAGAAAGCAGTGCAATTAATTCAGAAGGCTCAGGTCTACCAAATCACTCAAAGGTAGAAGTCTACAACTGTTGGGTCGAGGACCATTCTGTATTTAGTCAAGTCTCTTACCTGAAATGCCTTTAAAATTAGCAGTGATGGGATCAAATGCGTCTTTAACTCCCAAGGCAGAAAAAACTGTCTTTAGGTCAAAAAGGCTTTGAATACTGAACCTGAAATTATTATGATAGATTTTATTTAAATGCTGTATTTGTAGTTTCATAGAGTTAAAAGCATAACAGATGCGATTTATTTCAAGCCTTTCCATTTCATCCATCTATTCCTGTATGCGACCAGTGCATGCTGTCTGATTAAGTGTACTTTGCAGAAAAGCACCTCATCTTCACCTGAAGTTGTTAATAGAAGGAATCCCTCACCACCATCTGTTGCACTCAGATTGCCTTTCAGTCTTCTTGGCATATGAACTCTGCATTTTCCCAAGTTTGGCTATAGCAAATGGCACTTCAAAACATTTGCCAATGATTAGCTTGGAGAAGAAGAATATTAATGCATAAACAGTTTCTCAGGGCTTCATTAATGTGATGAATGCATAGTAAGAGATGTGTAATGAAGTCCTTCCATGCTGATCCGTACAATAGGTACAGCCACAAAAGGCCTCCTGTACTTGCTTCCTCCTGCTATGCAATTTCAGTGGAACAGATGATAGAAAGTACCTCCAGGTATGTGTGTTTGCTAACAACAGCAAATGACTAAAGTGGAAAATGAATGATGTGAGCTTGGTTTGTGCATGGAAAAGATGGGTATGACTGTGAGGGTAGGGGTGTGCACAACTTCTTTGTATAGTGCCTTTTTGTAGTATACTGACAAGTTTAAAAAACACACAATAGTGTGTATTTACAAGGTTATATATTTTTTTTCTCCCTTAAGCAAAGAGAAAAATGGAGTGTGGGAAAGGTCCAGCAACATATGTCTTTTAGGTCTTTAAAGGATTGTTAATCCCTAACAAATTTTAAGTAAAACCTGTAGGATTAACTGCAATACTTCATTTTTTTAAGACATTACAGAGCATACCAGGAAGTCTTGTACTTCCCAGCTCACCTGTTTGTGCCTTAAGAAAGGCCATCTCTGATCGTGAGATGAATAACAAAACAGAAAGCATGTCACTTGATTTTGCTCACACATTGCTCGTGAAGGTGCTATCACATGAAATTCTGACAGTTGAAGTAGTGAAGCTGTCGTGCTAACATTGCTTACCTAGGTAGAAAAATGTCCATCTTTGTTCTCTTTAAGCTGTTGGCCCAGAGAGTTATGTCTTTGGCAGAAAGGTGAGACTCAATCTGGGACAAAGGTGTTCTTTTATGGCTGGGAAGCACTAGGAACATGCTGTGTTTCTCCCCCAGGTAGGGTAACTCGACCACACTGAACGCCTCCAGAGCCGCAGTCTGGAACTGGCCTGTGGGTGGGCAAATGTAGACCTTATTTCATCATCAAAGTGGGGAACCAAACTCCCCCCAAACCCACAACCCCAGCTAGGTTCAGCAGACAGTTCAGAGCAGCTGTGGTAGGATTTAAGGAATTGTCTCTAGTACGTAGATTCTCGTAGCCAGCTCAGGTTGCTGTTAACTCACAACAGTCTCTCGTCTGAACAGAGCTGATTGTGAGAGAGACGTATGTATCTTGGCAGAAAAGTGCTAGTGCAAGTAATAGTAGCCGAAGCAGCGCCTCAAGAGAGCATGAGTATGTTATTACTTTCTCATATAATAGCTGTCCTCCTTGCTCAGGGTTTAAAAAAATATTACCAAGGCAATCGCAGTAACTGTGATGACTCGTCCTGCAATGCATGTTCTTTAACTAAAGATGCAATTTTATAATATCTTTCACTAAAATTTTAGTGCTGATAGAAGTTACAAAAACAAAATGGAGTATCCTACTTAATTAACTGAAATCTACTTTGCCTCATGTTTCTGTCTTTGTGACTTTTAAAAATCAGTTTTAGCCTTATTTAAAAAAAAAAAAGTTACATTAAACAATAGTTTATGCTTATTTAAGCATCATATTTATAATTTTTGAAAATCTGGGCACAAAAATCTATCAAAATCAGATGAAGGTTATAAAAACTAGTCTCAAGAGTAAAAGCTGGAGGGCTTCCAAACTTGCAATTGGTTATACAACAATTTGTAATAACCATTTTAAAGTACCATTTTAATTCCATATTTCAAAGAACAATTTAACCAGGCATTTCTAATGGACTCTGTTACACAGTAGAACAGATTCCACTATCACAATTTTAGCTTCTTATTTTTCCGTCTGAGAATCCAATAAATAGCATTTCAGGAACATTCAGTACTAGTTAGCAGACCAGGAGTTAAATGCAAGCTTAATACAAGTTGCAAGCAAACATCTTATTGCCTTTGCTGCAGGCTATCCAAAATACTCAATCTACTCCTTCTTCACCTAGCTGTAGTAGTTGTAACTTCAAGGTGCTCACACTTTCTGAACCAGGGGTTGTAAATAACAGAATATATGTAGCTTATGTTCATAATATCTAAATATTTGGCAATATGTACATAGCTGTAGGATGTCTCAAATACTTAGCATACAATATTTGTTAGTGTTGCAGATATGGACTAGATAGGATTCGTAAAGTGCTGATTATTCTGCTAGATTAAATCTTAGGCTCTTAGATGAGCCCTCCTGCCTTGCACCACGGAGAGAGAATTGCTCTGTTAAAACTAACTCCCAGCATGTGGATCATTTGCTGGGAAAAGATGTTCTGCTTTCCAATGGGCAAACAAGGAAGATTTACATTTGTAGTGCACTGGGCATGAGTGGTTTAATATGCGGGCATGCTGATATTTTGAAGTTAGCACGTTCTGTGCAAAGGTTATACAGTGCTTCCTTATTTGTTAATTAGAAAGAAAATCAAAGACTTTGTTATTGAGTCAGAACATTTAGCGTTCCTTGCTTGAACTGATTTTGAGCATCCCATAAGGATTATACATATGCTAAATTAGAATTCAAATGTTGTTAACAAATGGCTTGGAAAAATGAATATGTAAAGTAGCTGCAGTGTTTAAGAGGTGTGTGTGAACAGTAATGTTGACATTTTCTTAGAGCAGTGTTACTTATCCCCAGGCTGGTTTGTTCTTCGTGGCAATGTTAAAAGGATAAACAATGTTGTAAAAGTTGCAGTTGATAGTAGGTTACAGCTAATCTTTCTCACTCTGTGCTTTGGATCCTGGTGGGAGACAGCTACTATCATTTAATAATGACAGAAAGTTATCTTGGGCCTCTGTTTAGTTATACTGAGCCAGTCTTTTGCATTTATTTCAAATTGATTTGTTAGAAATGTTTCTGTCACTTTTAGTGACAAAGACTGAATTGGCTCAATCAAGCCTGACAATCAGCAAATTTTAAATGATCCCTTTCATTTTGGCTTTCCTTAAAAGTCTCTCCAGCTGCAAAAAGCTTACATACTTCAGGCTGGATTAGTATTTTGGCTAACTTCTTTTTCTGTGCAAATATTTAGTGCTTCAGCTACCTACTTAAGGACGATAGGATGGAGTTCTTGTGTTCAGGCAAGTGGTTAAATAAGCAGAACTAACGATTTCACATCAAGTTTGCAAGGATTCTGGCACAAATATGGGGTCAGACAATGCAGTTCAGCTGCTGAATTCCTGGTCACTGGCTTTCCCTGACTATACCCCCTTGTATAAGCATTGGCAGCCCCCTGCCTTCTGTTGTTTTGGACCTCTCATTTCTTTATTTCTCTCTGCTAAAAGAGAAAGTTCGGAGAAAAGGTCCATTCTTAAGGTAATAGCTGTATTTGATGAGCTTCTTTTGCCACGTCCTTCTCAAATACATGGTGCTCACCAAGTATGTTCCCAAGAAACCTATTTGTTTACCTCTTAAAGCAGTGAAGGGTAAGGCTATTCAAGACATCATGGTTAGCAAAAGCCCTTGCTGTGAGCTGGTGATACAAAATCACCCAGGACTGAAAAATCGAGTTGATGTAGTTCATGTTGCTCAACAACAAGGAAGATGAGGTGTAGGGTTTTGGAAAGGGAAACTGCACTCCTCAATAAAGTAATTTAACTTGTAAAAGGTTCAAATGTAAATAGGATGGGAGTGTGTCAAGTCAGAGGTGTGAATGTGGTCAGGAGCTGGCAGTCCCGGCAGGAGGAAGAAGCAATGGAGGGCACACCATGAGTGTCTGGGAAGAAGAGGTGCCACAAAGAAAGATGTAACTGTAAGGACAAACTTGCAAAGAGCAGAAGAAATTATTTCTTGACCAGGTGAATTATGGTTTAGAGATAAAAAGGCATAGAAATAACGAGCTGCCATCTGCCTGCTTAATGTGACTGTTGCACAGCAAAGGAAAATGTTTTAGCCATATAAGCTATTAAGGCATATATATTTTTTAGATTCATGCCAATTATTTGTTGTAACTGGTGGCAAAGAAGTAGTCTGATGATAGAGCAAAAGATAGTGGTGAGGTTCCTAATGGAAATGAAGAAAAGAGTAATTACACTGCCAGAGATGGAAACAAAGTTCACGTTACTTCACATCATAAGTTCTCATCACATTAGAGAGATGAATAATAATCTGGAGCCTGGATGATCGCCACCCCAAAATATGAGAAGAACCTGGGTTTGGAATTGCAAATGAGTGAGCAAAAGTTTTAATAGACTGTAAATTCAGTTGTTTCCCATGATTGGAAAAAAGGATTCATTTATAAAGAAAAAGAAAGTAATCTGGGAAGTTTTAGAAAGTACTCTGGAGAAAAGAATAATCAAGTCACAGAAGGAAATAGAAAGTGAGATAAATTGCAATATAAAGTAAACTAGCAAACAAATATATAAACTTTTTTGGCTCAATAACTAATTTGATAAAAAGGCATAGATCCAGCCATCTAGTTTTAAATAAAACAGCAAATATAATTTCACTGTGGCACTATTTACAGGTAAAAGTGATGGCAATTAGAGCAGGAAAAGAAAAGCAGCAAGCAGATACTTAAAGCAATGTAAAAGAGGGGCTCCCAGGTTGAAAAGAATTACTAGTGGCTTTCCAAAGTATTGTCCACACTAAGACTTCCATCAAAGACAGTGATTTGCCATGATGACTAGCGTGGTGGAAATCAAATGGTAGAGATTTCCCCCCCTTCCCCTTGAGGACTCTCATCAGCTGGAAAAAAATGCAGAAAGGAAAAAGGCCCAGGTGGGGCCAACCTTGAGTAACCACCCTGAGCTGGTTCTGCACTACACTATGCAAGGTACTTTTAGGAAGACATAGAAATACTAAAATCATTTTAGCGAGCATGAATATAGCTTCATTAAAAGTGTTGTGTACATTCCTGATCATTTATTCTCAAGAAAGATTGATTTAGATTTGGAAAAGTGCAAAAAAGAACTAGTAGAGAATTGGAGCCTCATTTTCAAATAGCTTAGAAGAGCCAGCTGCTTCAGTTTATCTAACAGGAAGTTGAGAGACAACTTGGTGACTTGCAAATAACGTTTGGGAGTAAATATCAAAGCTGAAGAGAAACTATTTAACTTAAAGCTGGCATGATGTTAAGAGATATAAATCGGTCTTGAGAAAATTTATACTTGGAATTAGGGAGGTTTTTACCCAAGTGCACTTCTGAAATTTAGGGTAGAAGGGAAAGGAGCTTTTTATATTTTGAAAGAGATTGTTTAGCTAACTGGCATAATTCCTGTTGGTAGAAAATTAAGCCTGCAGCATAAGTCCTCTTGTCAGCAACCCACATACATCAAGCCTTTGAAAGTAGCCTACACTGTATTCATATATTATAAAAATAAAAGTTTGACCTATATTTATAGTGGTTTAAGCCTGTGCTGAAATCACTCACTGATTTGGTTTAAGCACCATAAAAAATTATCTTTTCTTGCAGAATTTGACCCTGATGATCTGCAGTTTTACCCTAAAGTCTTGGAAACAGGCCGAGACACAGGGGTGGGTGTGCAGTGCTGGTGTTCCTGGTTATGCCATCCTCCCTCGGTGCTCACACACTCAAACAACAAGCAGGGATTAGACTGAGGGGCCAGAAAATTTTTTATTTACCCCACAAATCAAATTGGCTTGATATAGTTTAAGTCTTAACTGCCCCTCTGTCATGGGATCAAATGTGCTTCCTATGGTCCTCCTTTCCTAAGCAGCTTTATTTAGCAAGCTCCATGCTATTGTAAAGGACTTTTTATACTGTGGTACCCTCAGTCTCTTATGTTCCTTTCTCCTGGTCCATTATCTTTGTGCCTTTTGGTTGTTTGCTACAGCTGACAAGTTTATTATGGAGTGCTAGGAGGTGTTGGTCTGTGAAGGATAGGACAGGGACAGTAGATATTTTAGGAACCATTCTGAATGCAGAATCTGTTTAATCAATGCTTGGGATTATAAGGAGTCAAGTTGGCCACCTAGGTCATCTCTTCATTTGATGGGATTTCTTCCGAGACTTCTCTAAGCTAGAAAAATAACACTATCTTAGTGTGGTATTTGTGGAAAATAAATAAAGAAAACTGTTCCAGGCTGTACAATAGCTCAAATCTGGATTAAGGACAGTTACCGTAGTTAACTTCAGCTGTATGATGCATCGTGGGCACTTTCAGGGTTGAGCCCTCTGATGTGGTAAAAGGCAACATCTGAGTGTCCATAAGGGAAAACTTCTTTTGCCACGTGCTTCTGAAATACATGGTGCTCACCAAGGCAACCTGGCTAAGCGACGACCTAGCAGTCTCCAACAGCATGCCACGCACATCCCCATCTGCATGGAAAAGAGACAGGAAGAGGGACACGTGTCCTACTTGCCCAGGCCTAAAGGCCAGGTCCATGTGACTAAATAAAGCAAGTTGAGACCACTCTCCATCCCGAAGGGCAAGAGGCAAAACGCATAAGGTACCATTAACCCTCTACCTTCCCCTCCCCACATGTACATGGACCTCATCTGGATTGCCTGCTGGTCCCTGCTCTCCCCGGAACTGAGTTTGAGTTGGGCAATGTTGAAGGTCAAAGCTGTGCCAGCACTGTGCTACTTGCTGAACGGTGCAGATGACAGCAACCCGGTGTTCAGCACCATGCCCTGGCTCTAACTGGTGTTCTAGGTTAAATATGCCCAGGTGTATCTCAGAGGTGTTCATCATTAGTACCAGAAATACCTCATGGCATGACTACAGACTGCTTTATGAAGTAACTAAGTCAGTTGGGGCTTATATCCTATTTTTCCCCTTCTCCTGTTTACTTGTCAGTTCAACTGATCCTGCTTTGGGTATCTCAAAGATTTCTGAAAGAGTGATCTGCTTTTAATTCATTGATATTGCAATGTGAGCACTGCAATATGACCTCTCATTTTTGTACCTGCTTCTAGAGCAATACACTTCTGTCATGGAGCTGGATCACTTCTTACTGTTCATTTGAGAAAGACAGAATTTTTTTTTTTGTTAGTTTCGACAGCTTTAATGTGTGTATTTAACATCAGCTCATATGTTGCTGGCCAAATTAACATTCACGTAAGTTGATGAGGCAAATCAGGGACTGCTTTGCTCTGCTGCTTCTTAGGACTTTCTTTTTCAATTATTTTTTTCATTAACACCGAATTTAATGTCATTACTTTTCTTGCTTATGTGGAAAGTAAATTCTTTTTATTTCCCATTTTGACTTTTTAAACTCAGGGTCTGACTGCTGAGCTTATGGCTCTGCATGTTCCCCATAGCACCATGAAAGCATTCAGTGCCACATACATCATCCCTGGGGAATTTGGCTGTTCTCATTAAAAGTGAAAACACTGCAAAGGATTGCCATTTTAAAAATTAGAGGAATGAGGCCAGCTGGTTACCAGCTTGATACTGCAAATTTATACTCGGAGGTTCAGACCTATTCCCACTCTTTCTTCACGTTCAAAATGAATGTCAGCACAAGAATTAGTTTTTCTGGCTTTCAGCCTTGGTTTGGACAACACAGTGTGGCAAAAAACTGTACTTGGTTTAATGCAATTTCTCTCATCACTCTTATTTTGCATGTTATTCATGTGCATTCTTGTAGGTTGCTATGTTACCTGCAAGGTTACTGGTGATCCATTCCTGTATTTGGGCCGTGGTCCTGTTGGGGTCAGTAAAGTTGGTTTGCTGCAGGCTGCTGTTCGCCCAGCGTGCAGCATGTGCAGTGAAGTGAGGCGAGAGCTGCGTGCCAGCATCCACAAAGAAGGAACATGCCAGCTGAACCACTGTGCCTTGGCTCGAGTCGGTCACTCCTTCATACACTGTGCGCAAGAAGTCCTGCGCGCTTTGATCTGCCAGGCAAGAGAGAGGGAGAAACTGCAACTATCATGTTGAGGTTAAGGACTGCCCCAGGGCTCCACAGCTCTCAGCTCCAGTGCTGACACTGGTGTCCTCTGATTGTTAAAGCACGGAAGCACCCTTGACTTTATGGAGCATTGCTGTCAAGCACTACTGTTGAGGGCGATGATGCTCTAGGCATGGTAAAGCACTCTTCATGTTGCTGTAGGAATCACTCTAGTGCAGATGTGTCGAGCAGCTGAACTCACATCAGGTTCACACCTCTATGCAAACGCACCTCTGAACAGTTTATAAGGTACATTATTTTTTGGTTTTGGGCCCTCTCTGAGTTCCCGTTAGTGAGATCTAGTACCTCTGGCAGTGACTGGCCACAGTACCACTGTCTCCTTCTCTTGCCATTATCCACCTATCCCAGGAAAGGTCCAGTATTGGTGATGAGCCCTGGCAATGCTAAACAGAACTGATGGTTGCTTCACATGTGTTAGAAGCAACTCGTCTATTCATACAACCCACAACCATGTCTGCTTTTTTTTCAAGTACAATTGCTACTTGCCTTTAAGACATTTTCAACAAGTTCCTCATTCTATAACTAAGTTTTCAATGAGGACTGGGAAATGTCGGGAGTACTGCTTTTCTTTAGCAAGACATCAGTGCCTTTTGGCTTTGTGGGACCACCAGGAACTTTCTGATTTCACCACCTAGTGCCCCAATATCTGTGTGAAACCTCAGTAGCTCACTGTTGTACATGAATTCCTTGCCACCATTTTCAAGGTGGGTTAGTATTGTGTCCCTTGCTGTGGTACTTGGCTCAGGTGCTCCTCTGCTTTGGCTTGAAACCCTGGAATGCCCTGGGCAGCTCATAGGTATCTGGCTCCCCATGGTCATGGCTGAGCTCACCATTATGGCTGGTTGGAAATCTCTTAGTTTTGAGTCGAGAAGCCTTAGGCAAAGGGAGTGAACACTCAGTTTCTCCAGTCACCTGTGGATGTGGGCAGAACAGGAGGGAAGTCAGGACTGCCATCTGGGATTGTGGGTGTTTTGGGGTGGCTAACCAGGGAAGTGAATCCCACATGGACTGACCTGTCCCAGGCTGATCAAATTAAGGGTCTCAGGTCAAGGGCAGGATAACCATGAGACTCCAGCTGCCAGACAGGCCATCAGGACGCTTTTACTGCATTGTTTCAGATTCTTCATGGGGCAAAAGAGAGTTGCACATCTATTGATTTTTACCACCTGAGAATCCAGTGTGTGTTTTCTGACCTGATAGTACTACTTTAAGTAGCTAACCTGGAGGAAGACTAATCACCTATGGGAAGTTTGGTATTAAAATTTGGATCTATCACTCTATAAGGGGTAAAATACTGAACTCCTTGAACAGATGTCTAGAAAACTCACATAGTCTGAGATGTAAAGTGCTTTCCTTGTGCGTTCTGCATTAGTGTGGGAGCATCTGGCGAGCACTCTGGAAGATGTGAGAAATCAAGGATGGTAAACTGGAAGTAGATGTGGATGTGAGGGGTGGTATCCCGGACTTGTAACTTCCCCAAAGTGCTTAGCTAACCAAAGTCCTGAATTCTTACTTGGAGAAGAGCTCAAAATTGCTTTAAAATACTCTATTGTTAATAAAATAAATCAGCTAGGAGAAAGCATTTTAAAGCATGTCATTTTGTTTGTTCTGTCTACAGATACATCCCCTTATGCATTGTTTTTCTTAGTATTAGAATAAAAGTGAACAAATCTTCCAAACATTGAAAGAAGATTACAAGTGCATGTAAGAGCAGATTCTCTGTGAACAGTGAATAAACCATCAATGTTTTCATTGTTTTCAACCTGCTAAGGTTTTAACCTCATCCTTCATTATTGTTTAGGGCAGACCAACAAAAACATTAATACAAACATTAAGTTGAAGAAAGGGATTTTATCACATATGCATACCTATATAATTTGGTTTTACTCATCTGATAGGAAATTTCATCTCAATATTTGATTTATTTATTTTACTTATTTATTTGATTTAGACCATTTGAGGAAGTGGTTTCCTTCCCCATTACTGGAAATATGCTGTTATAACCAATAGCAATAGATCCCATCCTACTTTATTTTCACATTCCTGCATTAATATTACTGAAAGCAAAAGCTCATGTGGCTTGTGCCACAGACAGCTAAAATGGAGATATGTCTCCCTGCTATGATGTGCCACATGAGAAGAGAACATAAAAGACCTGGCAAGTCATTGACAACCTCTGCACTTCTCTTTGTTACATTTTCTGTGGAGATCTGTGCTTGAATTTCACTGTGAAATGTTATTCTTTAAGGTTCTTTCTTAATAACTGAGCCCCTAATGACCAGAAGTATCAAGCAAGGTATAATCCTTGTATGAATTAATGTTGTTTAGGAACTGAATTTACAGAAATAGGAGTATTATAGGCAAGAGTTCATTGTATCAGCTGCTCATGATATAGATGCACTGTTCCTATGTCAGTTCATGTAGCTGATAGCTGTATCTCTATTTATCAGCCAGAGTTAGCTCCTACTGCTGTGTTGGTTTTTGAATATTAATCTTATACAGAATGGTGATGGCAACTAAGTCAGGTTACAGCACAGGAAGATGAAATTACTGTAGGTTTTATCTTTAGTTTTCATACCCTGAAAGTGAATTTTATGCTGAGAAATAGCAGTGTCACGTCTATACATAAGTCTTGTATATAAGCTGCACATTTTGAAGATGAGGCAGTCATCTGCTTTTCATAAACATTCTGCCCATAATGTAAAATAGTTTTTGACATGTGATGTGAGATGGTAGGATAATCCAAAGCTAAAATGAAAACAGCATCCTTAAATTAAGCTGACTTAATGCTGGATTTAAAGACATCTGTCTTTCCCATATCCCTTCCAAATTCCCAGTGAGTTTTATTTTAGCCTGCTTTCAGGGAAAGATGCAGTTGCACCATCCATCTGTCAATGTGTATCTCTGTCTGCCAGTCTCCTTCTGATAACTTTTCATCTTTTTGGCCAGTTGTAATAACATCATAAGTCTTAAAGATAATTCACCTTCTGTGGGTTTCATTTGTTAATGGGGTGGGAGAGAAAACAATTCTCCTCTGCCTGGCACCTCTTTGCAGAGCACACAGGGGACAGCAGGGCACAGTGGACACGATGAACCTCTAGGAAATCTGGAGCAATTCTGCTGTTCATGGAAGCGGCTTTTCTAAATGTAGCTGTATTTTTGTGCCATAAGAGAGTAAGCACTGATTCAGGAAAAAATGGAACAATAACATGTAAATCAACTACTCCTTTGAGTTTCCTTTGTTCAGCTGATACCTGCCTATCAAAGATGGAGAAAACACTCCTAAACTAGATCTTGCAGTGAGACAGAAAATGGAAGTTTAATATGACGTGTCCCATTCCTGTCTTCTTATTAAGCTGTGAATTTATTAAAAAATGTAAGACAATAAGTATTTTTTTTAAGCAGTACATACCATGAATGTTGTATCCTAGGGCATCCTGCAGCTCTGTAAAGGTATTTCCTTGCGCTCCAAACTGCAGCAGCTCCAAAGAAACAGCCACACTTGCTGGAGAGACTACCAGATTGGTTCTGTTCTCTGCTTCAGATATATGCCGGTAGAGATTGATGGCGAATTCAGTTTTCAGCTCTTTCAGCTCATCATAGGAGATGCAGTTTCCTTTGGTTAAGCAGCAAGCAGAGAGGATAAATGCAGAGAAGGAAATGGGCAACATGAAGGCGAGCTGGGAACGCTCTCCACCAGGTAATCACACCTGCAATTAATAACACAGATATATTTAGAAAAGTAATAGGCTGAGCTGACAGAGGAAATTTCTCATTCCATCAGTGCTGACATATCACTTGCAATAGTAATGATCACTATTAAAATACTTATCCGGTTCTACTCAGTAGCTGTTGTCATTAAAAAAAAGAAAATAAACATAGGGACATGCTGATGACTCTGTTGACTAACAAGGATCGAATTTTCCAAAATGCTATAGCATACAGGATGGTTGGCCATTACAGACCGCCTTGTCTTCCTTGTGTGGAGACAAAGAGCCCCTTGGTTAAAAAGTTAGCCACCTGCACACATGATGACTGCACTTCAGTGCAGTCTCCATGCTGCTGAGCACCCATAGCTCCTTTCTGTCCCCAGCACTCCCAGAAGAAAGGCCACCCGTCGTGAGGTGCAGAAATCTAACTGGATGCTCCAGGCTGGGCTTTAGATCCAAGTTTGCAAAAAGCTGGCTTCAAATTTCCCCCACAGATATTCCTGCTATGAAATTTATCCCAGTGAAAATAAGGTTGCATTTGCAAAAGGTTCTAGTGCTTGCAGCAGAAAATCACCATGTCGGATTTTTATGGGAAATCAAGCATTGGTCAACTTTATATTAAGAGACACTTAGATTCATATTTAAAGGAATAATGCTAAAATGACAGAATATCTTTCCTTACAGAATTTCACCTTCTGAAGATTGTATGCAAGTATATTTTAAAAATTACTGCACCTTCTTTCACCTCAGGATTTTCTACAAATCTTTCTCCATGCCCTTTGCTCTAGAGAACACCTCTAATGCTTTGCATTTACTCACAGTTAAATTGTCTTGCCTTTCTGTGTCCTTCTGTGTGTCTGAATGGAAGCTGTCTATGAACGTCTTGTCTCCTTCTTTAATAGGTAGTGGAGTAAAGACTAAGTCATGAGACTGCATTTAAAGGGATAGTCAGTGATCAGAGTCTCTGTCGGCGATGTCTGTACCACTCTGTCCAAATTCCTGTAGGCTACAAGCTCTATGGAGAGCCAGGCAAAGCAGCATGCCACTGACCAGCAAATCCAAGGCAAGGAACAAAAAGGTACACATGGAGATAGAGTCAGCAACTTCCTTGCAAGCCCTGCTGGAGCCTCATGAGACTTGTGACCTGCTGGTACCGAGCAAGGCATCTCCTATCTCTCTTCCCACCCCCCTCCTTCTTTTCTATGAATTCCATTGATTCCTCTGCCACAAAGGGGAAGAGAAAGGGCTCTCTGTGTACCAGGCACACAGCTATTTACCCCCACTTTGAAAACTTATTCAGAAATCCCATGCAATTAAAATGTCTTTATTTCCCTTTTTTTTTTAATTAATGCCATCCCAAATAGCTAGATTTTCTTTTACTCTTTAGTTTCCAGAAGGAAAGAAACCACAACATGGTGCACTTGAAGGAGATTGAATAAAGAAGGGTTGCTTTGAATAGACCAGAAGCAGAAGAGCTATGGTTGTGACTGCTTTAAGAGCAGTTGTAGCTGCTCATGGCTTTCTTCATGTGATGGGGTCAAAAATCTTCCCTGTCACATTCACAGGTTCAGCCTCACAGCTTCACAATGCCAGTTAAAGCAAGCAAGATTTGGGCTTAAAAAATAATGTAAAACTGCAGCTTATTGATCTTCACAGAGTTTGACACTATATATATATTTAGCTATTTCACAACATACATTCCTGTTGGAAGAAGACATTGGGAAAAAGTTTATTACAATCAAGCAATAATTTAGGTGCTAGTTTCATCCTTAGCAGGTAAGGAACAACCACACAGAATAGATGCAGATACTGGGGCCTGTTTCAGGATCCTGGGCTTTAGACCACATTCCTGCTAGGACTGATGAAGGGGAAAAGCTTGGTCAGTCATAGTCTAGTACAACAGGCAGGGATGTTGATTTTGCTAGAGATTTCAATAAAGTATCCTCATGCTGAAAATTACATTTGAGCTTAAGGGTTTGGCTGAATGAGGACCTCTCTGCTGAAGTTATCATTAACAGTGTCCACTGGACTGGAGTTGTATTCAGAGGGAATGAAACAGAGGCCACCAAGTGATTTCTCGAAGGGCTCAGAGCTGTCAACAGATAAATTAACTGCGGTCACTTGTGAGGATTATGCGGGTGGATTTGATGTGATGTTCCCAGAGGTTCCAAACCTGATAAGACATTTCCTCGGTGCCCTGGTTGATACTATCATGTGGATTTATTAAGATTTAAAAGAAAGATAAGGAGACCCTGAAGGTTTTAGGCATTGCTGTCAAAAATTAACATTTAATTGCCACTTTGCAAAAATGTTGCTGTCGCATTTGTCATATGTATTTATGGAAGATGTTATTGAAAATTGCACCTGGTATAAATGTTGTGTAGAGCAGCATAGTTTCAGTAGGAAAGGGCAATATGTGTTCTGGGTCTTGTCTCATCACAGAGGAGACTTAGAAATTGGGGGGGGGGTGTTTCAAATCCTCCCTTTCTGCACCTACTTTAGGAAAGGAAAGATGTGGAGGAACCTTAGCAGCAAAAACAGTGTTTGCAGACAAGGAGGGAGGACTTAATAAAACTAAAACTGGATCAACACTGTTCAAAGCAGCCATGGGAAATAAGAAATGTGCTTTACATATAATAAATAGAAACGAAATCCTTTGGTGAATGATGAGAATGATAGAAGGCAGTGGAGTAAGAAAGAAATAAGAATCAGTGAAACTACTGTGGCTTAAAAAAAAAGTGATAAAGTACTGAGGGAAGGTTGTGAGTATTTATCATAATCAAGGTCAGAAACAAAAATTCTTACACCTGTTCAGTTTAAAAACCCAAGTTTTAAGTTTTCTTCCCCAAACTGGGATCCAAGGTTGACAACTGGGTGTCTGAGGAGAAGCTGGTGCCACATGAGGGTGAGTCTGAAAACTGAGTTTGCCAAGTGAGTCCATGGAGCCAGGAACTGAGCTGTCCAAATGACCATAGTCTGGGGGGGAACTGCAAATCAAATAGGCTAATTACAGAAATCCTGTGTTAGAAATAGAGGTGTCCTGGACCTACTGATGTATTAGGGTTGTGCTTCTTTTGAGAAAGGGAGTTTCTGGCTCTTTCTTAAGGATTCCAGCATTTTTTTTTTTTTTTAGAGTCTTCATATGTACCTGTGTCCTAGTTTAGGCATCACATCCTTCTTTGGTCTTAATCTGGCTATGCATCACAAGGTATTGAGGAATGTACTGATACATTTTCTGGAAATCATTTTATTTCCAAGATGCAGAAAATGCATTTAAAAAGGCATGCAACTGACTGGTCCCTAAGACAAGTCTTCAAAGTTAGAAAGGGGCAGAGGTAGCAGCTGTATTTTGAGAAATGCTTTTTCACATTGAGATAACAGACTGCCTGTGAAGCAAGTGAGAAAAGGCACAAGCTGAGGATTTCTGGAGAAAAAACAGCACAGGGGTGTGTGTGTAGGAACCTGGATCATGGAGTGCTGTGTCTCTGTGGAGGTCCTCTGAGCATTTACAGGTACAGCTCTGAAAACTGCAGAGGGATCCCAACCTCTCCATTCCCTCACTGAGCAGAAAAACCACCACTCTCTGAGAAGGAAAACAGCCCCCAAACAGGGAGCAAACTAGTGGAAAGCACTGAAGACAAGCCATAAGTGGTGACTGTTTTCATCAATGGATTAGATGCTGTGTCTGCAGTGTGCCAATGCTGTTACCGTATGGGCCCTTGAGGTCCTCCTGTGTGACCACGGCAGTGGGCAAGGTGACAGACTGCTGAAGCACCCACAGCTGCTCAGCTGACAGATACCTTCATAGATGGCTCTACAATGTCTGGTCCAAAAATATGCAGAAATAGAAAAAGATAAGGAAAAAGAAACAGTCAGAGGCAGCTGTTCTTCAGAACTTCATCTTCAAGGTCTTCATGGCTCAGATTCTACTCTAAGGTATAGGACTGTGAAAGGCAAAATTGGGTCCTAGAGCAGATGGGGAGCTCCTGGAGGACTGTGGGCTGTGGAAAACAGACTCAGGGTTGAGCCTCCATGGCATCAGGGAGGAAGCTGAGGAACTTGTTCAGCCCTGATAGCACTAGCAGTCACAGGACTCAAATGAGAAACCAGAGGGAAAGGCACAGCCTGCACGGGCTGCTAGGGACAGAGAGAGATTTCTTTGGAAACCTTTCCCCACAACCAATTGTTTCTCATCGGAGACTGGAGTTTTCTCTGATTTATTAATCTGTGTTCTAAGAAAACCAAGCCCTAGTTTGGTGTGGCTACTGAGAGGAATGAGGGAGCAGTTCAGCTTTTGGGCTCTAGCCAGTTTGGGCTTCTACTGCAGGGACTTTACACAGTGATCTGGAGCAGAATTTGACCCAGGGAAAGGCTGAAAGATAAAAGATGAGAGAACCAGTTGGGAAGCAGGTTTTCCTCTTCAGAATCCTCTTGTTTGCTTTTCTGTGTCAGGTCAGTCTACCATAATCATGGAATCATAGAATTATAGAATCAGCTGGGTTGGAAAAGACCTCTGAGATCATCAAGTCCAACCTTGATAATCTTCCTTCCACTCTAGCACAACCCTATTATCAGTAGGATTACTGTACACTTACCCCTTCATAAATGATAACAGAATTTAACCTTCTATCTGCATCTGTTTTTTGTGTGCTTGCTCTCTTTAACATATAGAATAACCCTGGGGAAATTAAATAGAATCCAAACCAGCTTCCTTCCTGCTTATATCTCTCCTTCAGGAGAGAGCCTGCACAGCAAGACACCAGCACATTTGCTCTGTCAGGAAGGTGGTTCTGCTGAACCTCAGGATAAGAAAAATTTGCATCATCATTTTATACAGAGCTTATTCTATGGGGAAGCAGTTGACTGTGGAGCTGCAAAACTGCCCACTGTGCAAGTTCAAGTGAATTTTCCTACTGCTATCCACATGCCATGTAAAAACTAGCCCCGCCTCTGCTTCCCCTGGGGTGGGAGGACAAAATCTGGCTCTTCAAAGGGTGACCACTGTGGAGGGTCATCTTCAAAGAAGAAGTCCATCTGCTCAGTGAGGTGTCATGGTTTGAGCAGATGGGCTTGGTGCCAGTGCCTGGCCAGCCAGGACCTGCTAGGGAGGTCATACAGTGCAGAATCCCAGAATGAAGCTCAATTCTGCAGGAGACCCCAGACCACTTCCCTCATACCCTCCTACCCAGCTCCATGTGGAAAGAAGTGCTATTAGCAGCAATAGAGGCTTTTTGGCAGCTCCACAGCTGGAGGTAGTCTCCCTGCCCATGGTGCAGTCTAAGTTGCAGAGGAGCATGGGCTCAGGCTGACTGTGACCAAACTGTGCAGCACTTAGTTCTCAATCCTCTTCAGCGCCTGTGGCTCTAAAATATTAATATAATACTTTTGTGAGTTCATTTTTCTGTATCTCTAATACTGCAAGTGGAATAACAGAGCAGTGGTTTTACAGTGTCACCCTGGGAATCATTGTTTCCTGCCCTGTAAGATGCCCAAGGATACATGGCCACCCTTGGGGATACAAGGGCTGATGGGTAGGCATTGGAGGACTGTGTGGGATCTAGGCTCTGCCATGGAGGCTTTTGGGATGAGTCCTGGAATAAACGAGACCTGGACTTTACCCAGGGGCAGTTTTGAAGACAGGTAGTGGTAGCAAACAAAAACTTAGTCAGGCAGTAATTTAATAAGTGGTGTGAGAAATCAGTGCTCAAGTCAAGACCTTTTTCAAGTTTCAGAGTAAGTATTTCTAACGTGTTATGTGATGTCTTCTGCAGTGGTGCCTTTTTCTTGTGGGAAGCAGAGCAAAGCAAACAGGAGTTCCTCTTCCACTGAATAAGATTAATATCGTGACAATGATGAAGTGACACGTGTTTCCACATGCAGAAGTGTAGGCTGAGAAAAACCCCAAATCAAGACAGTTTTCTAAACAACAGTGACTGTTTTTGTTATAAAGTTTTCAG